AAGGGCTGAATGCAGTAGGGCCTGCCCAGCTTCCCAACTGCCTTCCCCCTCCACTCCTTTCTCTTCTGTGTTCTTGAGCCCTGCTAACCGTACAATTTCTTTTTTTTTTTTTTTTAAGATTTTAGTTATTTATTTTTAGAGAGAGGGGAAGGGAAGGAGAAAGAGAGGTAGAGAAACATCAATGTGTGGTTGCCTCTTGTGCGCCCCCAACTGGGGACCTGACCCGAAACCGAGGCATGTGCCCTGACTGGGAATTGAACTGGCAACCCTTTACTTTGTAGTCCGGCACTCAGTCCACTGAGCCACGCCAGCCAGGGTAAGACGTTACAATCTCTTGACAGCATCACACCCTCTTCAACCACAGGCCCTTGGCCTCCTGTCAGGGAGGCTCTCTCCCCACCACCCTGTGCCTGGGTTTGCTTTTTTCATTCCCCCCATTCCTATCTCAGCTCAAGCTCGATGTTTTGAGGAAGCCTTTCCTGACCACCACCCCGCTGCCCAGATCCCGGTCTTTGAAGCCCTTTTATGGCTAGAAATTCATCCATGTGTTTCCTGGACCAGATTCTGCTTCCTCAATTAGAATCTAAGTTGCAGGAGGCCAAGGCTGTGTTTACTTTTGCACTTGGCCTGCCCCCTGCAGTCCAGCAGAAGGTTTGGTAAGTTCCAGTGTAAACCCAGGCAAGGATTATTAAAATCATCTGCTATCTCGCATCACAGAATCAGCACTGTTTTCAGACTCCGACAAGTCCTCTCAAACTGCGTGCTGGCTTGTTTACATTTTATAACATAACCATCACTAGTAATACACAGTAAAAACCACTTGGGAATGGACAGCTGGGACACAAATCCTCACATGGGGATCCTTGGTGAGTGCCGGTTCTGGCTCCATCCCAAGAAGTTGGAGGGTCTCACTCATGGTGCCCAGAGGGTGAGGGACAGGGGCCCCGGACCCCAGGCCCTTTCCTCCCTGCAGGACCGAATCCAGGTGTGACTTTTCTGTAAGGGATCCAAGTGGGGAAGGTAGGACAAGACAGCCAGGATGGCCCACCAGTGCTGGGCGTGGCCCTGCAACTCCCACTTTCCCTGGACTTGGAAGGCACTTCTTCCATCCGAGGCAGCTTCAAAACACAAATCGGAGGACTTCCACCAAGATGGAGGCGTAGGTGGAAGCACTGTGTCTCCTCCCACAACCAAGTTTAAAAACAACAAAGTTTTAGCAACAAAAACACAGCCAAAACCACAGAAAATTGAACTTCACGGAAGTCTGACAACAATGAACCCTTCAGCCAAACCGATAAGAGGGGCAGAGCCAGCAGCAGAGCGAGGTCGGGAGGAAAGATCCACTGGACTGACCCGGGCTCGCGACCCAGGCGTGCCAGCAGCTGTGGGCGGATCCCAGGTGTGGAGAAGCAGGTGGACCCACTGAGAGTGCAAGGCAATGGACTCAGTGAAGGCTGACCACGGTCACACATTTGCGCACAGATAAACTGGTGAAGGAGGGAGCGGTGAAACAGACCGTGCAGACCCCAGTGGCAGGAAGCGGCAGAGGGGCCCGCCATTGTCTCTCTCTGACCCTGTTCCTACCTACAGCGTCACAAACCAGCGACTTGGGTGGCCCCGCTCTGGTGAACAACTAAGGCTCCATTCCTCATACCTAACAGGCACGAACAGATCAAAACATGGTTCAAGAAGAACTTAGAGCCCCAGAGCTGATAAATCTAAGCGATGAAGAAATAGCCAAACTTTCAGATTCACAGTTCAAAACACCAGTGATCAGGATGCTCACAGAACTGGTGGATTTTAGTCACAAATTAGAGGAACATATGAAGGCTAAACTAATTGAAATGAATGGAAATGCACAGGAAACCAATAGTGATGGAAAGGAAACTGGGACTCAAATCAAAGGAGTGGACCAGAAAGGAAAAAAATGACCAAACAGAAAAGAATGTAGAAACAAGAATTCAAAAAAAATGAGGAGAGGCTTAGGAACCTCCAGGACATCTTTAAATGTTCCAACATCAGAATTATAGGGGTACCAGAAGGGGAAAGGAACAGCCATGAGTGGAAAACTTATCTGAACAAATAATAAAGGAGAATTTCCCCAATCTAGCAAAGGAAATAGACTTTCAGGAAATCCAGGAAGCTCAGAGAGTCCCAAAGAAGTTGGACCCAAGAAGAAACACACTGAGGCACATCATCATTACATTAGCCAAGATTAAAATGGAGGAGAGAATCCTAGAAGCAGCAAGAGATAAGGGGACAGTCACCTACAAAGGAGTTCCCATCAGACTGTCAGCGAATTTCTCAAAAGAGACCTTCCAGGCAAGAAGGGGCTGGAAAGAAGTATTCCAAGTCATGAAATCCAAAGACCTACAACCAAGATTGCTCTATCCAGCAAAGCTTTCATTTAGAATGGAAGGGCAGATAAAGTGCTTCTCAGATAAGATCAAATTCAAGGAGTTCATCATCACCAAGCCCTTATTATATGAAATGTTAAAGGGACTTACCTAAGAAAAAGAAGAAAAAAGATGAACAGTGAAAGGACAGCAAACTCACAGTTATTAACAACCACACCTAAAACAAAAGCAAACTAAGGACAGCTAGATCAGGAGCAGAACATAGAAATGAAGATCACATGGAGGGTTAGCAACAGGGGAGTGGGAGGAGGAGAAGGGAGGAGAAGGTACAAAGAATAAGTAAATAGATGGTAGGTAGAAAATAGATAGGGGGGAGGGCAAGAATAGTATGGGAAATATAGAATCTAAAGAACTTGAGACACGTGGTCATAAACTAAAGGGGGAACAGTGGGGGAGGGGGTGTGCAGGGTGGAGGGGAATGAAGGGGGGAATAGAACAATTGTAATGGCATAATCAATAAAATATATTAAAAAAACACACAAATCGGCTTCTTGGAAATTTTGATTCCCGCCCCTGTGACTCTCCTCGGCCTGCTATCTGCAAAGAGACAAACAGTCCCCGGGCTAATCACTGCCGTTTATCACTGTCATTTGAAGCCCCAAGACAAAAATAGGCTTTGTTGGCAGGTTCCCGTTGGCAGGCCAGACTGGATAGAGACAGGGCTGGTTGGGGAGGGTGAGACCCAGCGGGCGGGACACAGTGTTTAGCTCCGGTGGGTAATATAAACGTGCAAGTTCAGAACACCGAAAAGACCACTTGCAGGGGGCGAACCTGGACCACACACCGCAGACCAGCCTGAGGCACCGGCCTGAATGGCCTGGTAGAAACAGTCCCCGCCTCCGAGTAGTGGGCCCCGCCCCCGGGGCCTGCCCCCCAGTGAGCTTAAGGCGAAGAACCGCCTGACCTTCCCGATGGCTGTGCGAGTACCAGAGGCTGCTGTGTCCGGGGCTGGAAAGGACATGGCAGGAGACACAGGGGACCTCCTAGGGGCAGTCCCCAAGCCTCTGGGCCCATTCACGACAATTCCAGGCCTCTCTGGAGCCCCCGGGTGCTCTCGGGCCCTACAGACCTCGCCAGGTCTAATGGTGCCCTAGAGAAAGACTGGAGGCCCCGGGGTCCAGTCCTGGGGCCAAAAGGAGCCCCAGGACAGGCCCGGGAGAGGATGAGCAGTGCTCCTACGCCGTGCAGCATCACCTGGGCCCAGCGGCCTTTCACCCGGCCCCGCCTCCCACGCTGTGCCCTCCTGCCTCGCGGGCTTCCCTGCCGCCCCTGAGGCGTTGGTGACGACACAGCCAAGCCTGCGCTGACCGGCAGAAGCCAGGTACTGCGGCCCTCGCCTCCCCACAGTCCCCTGTGGGGTTGGTTTCCAGTTGGGGAAGGCGAGGCACGGGTGGGAAGTGTCTGCGTCTGTCCTCACCCCTCGGCGTTTAGTTCCCCGCTGGTCCGAAGGTGCGCAGGGAAGGAAGTGGAAGATCCTGGCCAGGAGCTGGGTCTTCTGATTTCCTCCCGGCCTGACTTTTGCAAACTTCTGACATGTATTTTTGTTTGCATCACCTGTATCCCCTTCTCTTCCCTCCCCAGTAGTGAATCCTCCCAACTGAACTGCGTTTCCTTTGGAGAGTTTTTCATAACTTTGAAATAATGGGGCACCACCGGCCTGGCCAGACTTTGGTTGAAAATCATTGTTTTCTGGCTGGTGGGTCCTCCTTTTGAATAGGAACACAGGGATCCCCACCCCGCCCCCCAACACACACAGGCTGTGACATGTCACCCTCTTCACAGTCCCCTGTGCAGTGGAATCTGGTCACTGTTCCTGACTTTGCTGCTGAGGCCAAGAACAGTGCCCGACTCCCAGGTCCTGCATTTTGTGCACCCAAGACTTTTTGTGCACATTATACACGGGATTATTAGACCCATTATTATACTATGGTACGTAATCATTTTACCCATGTATAATGCCCACGCTAGTTTTCCCCTCAAAACTGGGCAAAAAGAGTGTGCGTTATACACAGCAAAATATGGTAACTGTTCATTTCGAGGAGAAGGAGGGGAAGAAATGGCTAAATTAGCTGGATTTGTGCCTCAGTAAATAAGACAGGGAGTATGTTTCATGAAGAAGAAAGTCTGCAGGCCCTGGGGAACTTTGCTCTGGATTTTCGGCCACTTGGCCTAGCGTGTCCTGTGGCGGCCGAACACACGCCCATCACGGGGGCTGGTGGTGGCCTGGCCATGCGGAGCCTCACGTAGACCAAAGCTGTGACTCACTCTCCTTGCCCGGCAGAAAGAGAAATTTGAGATATTTACTGCTTTTTCAATAGTGATGACTGCACAGAAAATGCCAACTCTAGGCCACTGTGAGTTCCTTAAAAAGGAAAATAAGAATTTCGTGAAGAACGTGCTGTGTGGTCATTTGGGCAAAAGCCGGGTGTCCTGTAGAGAGCCTTGGCTACAGCCTTCCTGCAGGCGCCACTGCCTAGTGACCCTCTGTTGCCCCCATATTACCCTGTGTGGCAGCTGTTATTTTCCATGTGTTTGTGACAGAAATAACCCCTCCCGTCACCCAGCAGGGGCCTGACTGCTGAGGCTTCTGCAGTGAGGAAATAGCACAGGCCGAGCGGGTCAGGAGGGGCCTGGGCCTGCGGTCTGGGCGGCCTGGGCGGGGGCTCAGGGGGCCACCTGCCAAGCTGAACCCCAGACGGACGTTTAGAAGAAGTGAAAGAATGACGGGTCTCTGGGTGCCTGAAAGGGTTACTCCTCCTTAGACTGGCTATAAAAATGCTATTGGCCTTTACTCAGCAGGGCCAAAGTGCAGGCCGGATATCTTCTGTCTCCATTCAGTGCCTTTGTTATTTTGGCTGAGAGGAAGTGAGCGGCACATCTTTCCAGAGCAAGGATGGAGCAACAGCTTGAGATCAAGAAGGAAGGGGTAAGTGGGGTCCCGGGGAGGGGCGGGGAGCAGCCCACTCCGGGCCTGCGCAGCATCGCAAGGAGGACTTCCCGGGAGCTCCCGTCTCGGGTGGCCTGCCCCTCGCGGTTCCCCCAGCAGCTGGACTCTGGCAGGGACTAGAGAGAGCAGACATTTAGACACATTTGCCTTGAGAGCTACTTGGGGAACTGTTCTACCAGAACAGCCTCTACCAGTGCCCGTAAACGAACCAAAGGGACTCAAGGGGTCGTTAGTCCCCACTGCCTGAGGTGGGGTGGTTCTGAAGCCAGCAGCAGAATCCTTAGACATTGCTCGTGAGGTGGGCTTCCCCCCCGCCTTTGTTTTGACTCTGGCTTCAGACTTTTTGAATTAACCTTTTCAGTGAGTAACGTAACTCAGCCCGAGAGACTTTAGACTCAGAAAAGATGCTGCGAGATCTGAATGTCATTCAAGTCTGTAGCAGGGATTCCCTACCCTCTAGATGATAAGATTTGCTCTTTTCGGAGACTAAAGATGTTTCTGGACCTGCTGATATACCTTTAGAGTCCCTTGATTGAGGAAAATGCAAAAAGACAGAAAGATAATATGAATTCATTAACACTTTTCAGCAGTTTGTATTTTATTCGTCCCAATAGCGTCTGTTTATATTAATGGGAGGAGAGGTGCACATCTGTGCAAACCATTATTTATTCAGTCATGGGTGTGGGACCTTTGCCATAGGCACATTCGGAACAGGCTCTGTAGCTCATAGATTAAGAGCAGGTCTGGGAGTAGAGGTACCTGGAATTCATCCCTGCTCCATCCAGTTCTAAATGTGGGAACGTGGACAAGGTATTTAACTGCTCTGTGCCTCAGCTTTCTCATCTATAAAATGGGTATAATAACCATGCCATCTCATAGGGCAGTTAAATGAGATCATGCATGTGAATTACGTGCCAGGTGGAGAATCCCCCGTAAGTGGTCAGTCTTTTTGAGCATCCTTTGGAGTGAACACTGTCAATGTTTGGGCCGGGTAACTCTTTGCTGTGGGGCTGGCCTGTGTGCTGCTTCCCTGGCCGCCCCTCCCTGGCTGTCAGTGGCGCTCCTCACTGCTTCAGGGCGACTGAGCGCTTCACCTGGCTCATCACCTTTGATTTTCACAGCTACTAAGGCAGTGGTAGTCAAGTCCAGTGTTGGTCCCTCTGTTTTATAGAAAAGGGACTGGGAGGTAACATGAATTTAGGGGCTTGGTGGGGGTTTGGTCTGGGGAGGGCCCTGATCTGGTCAGTGCCCCCTCTTCAAACAGCAATGCCTCCCCCAGCTGTGCCCCCAGGTGACTGCAGAAAAATGACAACGCCCCCACATGGTGGTACCTGAAAATGAGCAGTCCGTTTTTAAAAGAAATGATTAAAATGGGCACAGGCAAAAGGTAGGGGCCGACTAGAGCTACCTGCTCCCTGGATTCTCCAGGGAAGGGAGTCTCCAGCGCCCACCCCAATGCAGGCTTCCCCTTGGGGTGTCCTGGAGGCAGACTTGCCCCTTGGCTTCCTGGGAGACATGGAACAAAACTGTCCCGCTGGCAACTGAGTGTGAGAGTCTGCGAATCATTAAGCGAAGCTGGGGGCAGATCTGGGAGCCGAGGAGAAGGGGAAGGACTGGCAAAGGCTGCAGGGAGCAGGCTCAGCTGCTTGGGGCTGCTCCGGCAGAGGGCGGGGCCTGGCTCTGTGCCCCCTGGGGACCGTGTGACCCTCGCCTCAGTGGCCTGCGGGTCCCTCACATGTGGAGAGAAAAGAATCTGCCCAGTACACATCGAGACCTTTCTTCCAGAAAAGAGACTCTTGGCCCAAAAGAAAAAAAATAAAATGGATTAGAATTAAAAGGTCAAAGTGCTTTGGAAATGAAAGTGCATGTTTTTTTGTGGTGCACCCCTGCCCCCCACTAGTTCAGTGTCATAGAGCAAGTACCTTTGCCACTGTGTCCTCACTGCACACCGGTGGGTGACTGACCCCAGGCCGGGCGTGGCTGTCCCTGAGTTTTATACACAGGGGCGGCAGCCATAGGTTTATTGGTGATGATAAAGAACTCCGTGCCAAAGCGTGCTTGAGTGTAGTGAGTGGACCACTAGAGTGTGTAAACAAGGAAAGCCGGCGATCCGAGCGCTCACAAGTCCGAGCCTAAGGGCCTGCCACCACGGTGATGTCCTTTTGACTTAATAAATCAATTGTAATGATCACAACTCACCTGTCTTTCTCCAGATGAACAACTATAAACCTACTTTTGCCCACCTGTGCATAGGAACTCATTTCTTCTTTTTTTTAATCCTCACCTGAAGACATGCTTATTGATTTTAGAGAAAGAGGAGAAGCGAGGGGGAGAGAGAGGGGAAGAGAAACGTGGATGTGGGAGAGAAACATCAATTGTTTGCCTTCCATACATGCCCCAACGGGGGATCGAACCCACAACCTAAGCAGGAGCTCTGACTGGGAATTGAACCCGGACTTCTTGGTGTACCCGATGACGCTCCAACCAACTGAGCCACACCAGCCGGGGCATGAACTCATTTCTCCTTCACATCAGTCCTGTGAGGAAGATAGTGTCATTGTCTCCATTTTCCAGGCGAAGGAAGCAAGACATAGAGAAGTTCAGTGACTGGCCCCAGGCCGCCCAGACAGCAGCAGGGCAGCCGGGGTGTGATCCCGTGGTCTCGGGCGCACCCGCCCCCACCCCCGCCCGCAGCGAGGAGACCAGGCACCTCCAGCCCTGAGATGCGCTGTCTCTCTCTCCTCTCCCCGCTCTCCACTCAGACATCAATGTCTGTTTGTAAAAATTGGAGTCCCACAGGGTGATAAAGTGGCAGAGTGTACATAAAACTCACTCCTCCAGGGAAGAAATTCCGGACAAGGAGACGTCGTGACTGAGAGTGTCTACGGTGGTGGAAACAGGCGTGGAGATGACTTCCCGAGGGAGCCCTTGTAGACAGGGCTTGCCCCCCAACCCCGCCCCGGGGGCCTCCCCTCCCCCTGCAGGGGGGGCTGCAGCCTGAGGTTGGCTGCGTCACCAGGGTCCCAGCGCCCTCAGCGGTGGCAGGACAGGGAGCCGCTTTACCGCGGGCACGAGAGATGGGGCTCCTGGTTTCTCCCAAATCCGAAAGGCGTACGAAGGGAAAGAAAAAAGAGAAGCGAAAAAAGAAAGCTTTAGCCTGGCTTTCTCTTACGTGCCTTTTTGTTGTGCTGTACCTCTATTGAGAATGTAACATAAAATTCACTGCTTTAAGTGTGCGGTTCAGTGTGTATTCACAGAACGGCACAAGCACAATCAAGTTTAGAACATTTTCATCACCCCTCCAAAATCTGTCCTCACTTTTAGTCGCTTCCTGCTCCCCCCAGCTCCTCCTCTTCTCCCCCGACTGTAGGCGACCACAGTCCTGCCTCCTCTGTCTGATTTGCCCACTCCGGCCAGTTCCCGCAGGCGGATCAGACAGCAGATGGCCGTCTGTGACCAGCCTCTGTCCCCACTGTGTTCTCCAGGCTCATCCACTTTGTAGCTCGGGTCAGCGCCTCATCCCTTTTCACGGCCAAGCAATGCTCCCCGGGATGACAGGCGTTCGTTCTGCTGTTCCTTGGTTCCTGGCCCTGTGGGTTGTCCCCGCTTTGGGCTCCTATGAATAATGCTGCTACAACATGCATGTTCAAATGTGTGCGAACGTGTTTTCGTGCCTTCTGGGTGCATGCCCAGGAGCGGAACGGCCGAGTCACGTGTTGGCACTATGTTTAGTTTTGGGAGGACCTGCCAGACCTTCCCAGAGCGGCTGCCTCGTCTTACTCTCCTACCAGAAGTGTCTGAGGGTTCCGATTTAGTCCACACTTCGTCAACACTTACCAGTACCTGCCTTAGTGATTTCGACCACGCTTGTGAGGGAGAAGTGCCCCACCTGTGCTACACCCCAGGTGGGGTGCATGTGGGTGTGTGCAGACGTGCCTCCTGCCTTCAGAAAACACAGTGGTGTGGCTACCACCCTGGGCCCCGCCTTCCCTCCTGGGCACCGTCACCTGCCACACCCCCCCCCCTTTCACGCTCTCCCCACACTGGTCCCAGAGGGCGGTGAGGGCTGAGGACTGGACGCCAGAGCCCACTGCTCCTTCTTCCTCACCAGAAGCTTCCTGTTGGGTTAACCGACTGTGAACCATCTGGTGGTGGAGGAGAGCCAGGGCCTCCTCACGCGGGTCTGCTCCTGCCCTGCGGAGGCCGACGAACCCCTCTGTCTTCTCAGGGCATCACGACAAAGCAGGAGTGACCCGTTCCTCCGCCTGTCCCACTTCTGGCCTCTCTCAAGAGGTCCTTTTTAGATTAGATGGGACAGTGCCCACGGGGAGATGGGAGCACCCCAGCTTGCCCTGGGAGGGGCATGTGCCCCGCGTGGCAGGATGTACCTGAATGAGGGTGCTGGAATGGCGGGTTCCAACCCTCGGATCCAGGCCCGGCCCAGTCAGCAGGTTCTCTCTCCAGCTGGAGGCTACAATAACTCTGGGGGTTGTTATCACCCCCATCTTAAATATTTAATTTATTTATGTTTAGAGAGAGGAAAAGGGAGGGAGAAAGAGAGGGAGAGAAACATCAGTGTGCAAGAGATACGTGGATTGGTTGTGCGCCATCGATTGGTTGCCTCTTGCACGCCCCCAACTGGTGACCGGGCCTGTAACCCAGGTGTGTGCCCTGATTAGGAATTGAACTTGAGACCTTTTGGTTCTCAGGCCGGCACTCAGTCCACCGAGCCGCACCAGCCAGGGCCCCCGATTTTAAAGAGGAGGAATCTGAAGATCATAGAAATTAAGCTAGAAGATGGCAGTGGGCAAATTCAAATGAGATCTGTAGATTCTAAAAGCAAAACTATTTCCACTTCTATTTTTCTCCCGCTTGTCAGGAGGGGATTGTCTTAAGTGAATGCTCCTTTTCCTGACACGTCCAAGGAAGGAGAGGAATATTATCACAGAATGTGTGCGGTTAGGGTCCCCAGAAGTCTATACTTGAAAACAGTTTCTCACTGTGCCCTCTGCCTGTCACAGGGGACTCTGCGGCTAGGGAGTTAACAAGTGGCCTGAAATGATTCAGATGGTTTGCATTCTCCCTCTTTGATTTTGGGGGGGCGTTCGTGTTTCGGGCGGTGCTCATGAGCACACGCAGCAGTCGTCCAGCAAACCCAGCAGGAGCAAGACAGACACTAGGTGGGGTGTTAGGGTAGCTCCGCCTGTGTCTTTCCGACCCACAGCTCTCAACACTGGGGGACACCTCCTTCATAGGAAGGTGGGGGACATTTAGCAACGTCTGGAGATATTTGAGTTGTCACAGGTAGGGCAGGGGTATTCCTGCAATGCTTACAGGACGCCCCCCACCCCGCCTCCATGACAGAATTATCCTTCCTAGTGCTGCCTGTGAGAAAGCCTGTCCTCACCCCCGGGGGTAGAGAGCAGGTTGCAGGACAGGGTGCCCACGGAGGTCTTCAGGTTCCACGCCGTCTTCCATGAGACGGTGCCGTGAGTGGGGCCCTCTGCCTCCCGACTAAGCCGTGGCCCCTCTCCATGCAGAGGCTGACACTCGTGCTTGCCCTGGCCACGCTGATTGCCGCCTTTGGGTCATCCTTCCAGTACGGGTACAATGTGGCCTCCATCAACTCCCCTGCTGAGGTAGGTCACTGTGGTGAGTGAGGCTCGGTCCCCAGGAAACGGGGAGGTGGGTTTGGAGCAGCCGGGGCCCAGGGGTGGCCGCCAGGGTGGGACGGCGCACGTGGAGGGCACACAATGGGCCCTCGAGCAAAGGGACAGGAACACCCATAAGATGCAGAAAGGGCCCCAGGGCGCTGGCAGGCACAGGGCCATGGGGATGAACCAGGTTCTGGCCAGACACACAGAGGGTGGTCCCCAATCTTCTACAATCTTGCAATGTATGGAGGGACCCAGGGGGAGGGGTCACCCCACAGTTGGGAAGATGGGAGTCAGTCCCCTCTGGTGTTCTAAATGTCCTGGCAGGTTGCCTACCAGAGGCCTCTCGGCCCTCCCAGGGCGCCCCCTGCTGACTGCCCCCAGTACCACTTTCTTCCACTTGATGCGGGTATCTGTGGGGCCGGGTTCTCCCCTGGCGGGCCGAATACGCACGCTGCTCTTTCTTCAAAACCAGGTCATGTTTTTTTGGTGTTCTGTTTTGCTCTGTTCTCCAGCTCATGAAAGAATTTTATAATGCGACCTACTATGATAGAAGCAGTGAGTACCTGAGCGACTTTTCCTTGACCCTTCTGTGGTCCATTTCTGTGTCCATGTTCCCCTTCGGAGGCCTCATCGGGTCCCTCATGGTTGGCCCCTTGGTGAACAAGTTTGGCAGGTAAGGAAAAGTGAATTTTCGACTCCGCAAATTCCTGACCCTGTCTGGACCCCATCTAGACCCCGTCAGAGTTTAAAACATAGGCCAGAAGCAGAAATTTTTATTGTAACACTAGGCGATACGGCCAACATGAATTGTTTTCTAATGTGGTCTTAAGACCATAAATTGACCAAGGGTTCAGGCACCTCGGCTGGGCCTTTGGGCTGGAAATGAACGTGCTTTGGGCTGGAAATGAACGTGGCAGGTCCCAGGCCCTGGGGTGGATACAGAAAGAACAGAGCGCTTCAAAGACCGGCACTTACACATGGTTAAGAAAAACACAAACAATTAAATCACACTTATCACATTCCCATGCAGACAGTTGAACAAGGACCTGCTCGCTCCACTTGTGGGCCGAACTGCAAGTTCTTCACTCAAGGGGAAGGGGTCCTGCGGGTCTGACAGGCTGGCCTGGCCCCCGATATCGACTACACAGGAGGACCTTGGGAGCTTGGACCCAAAACCAGGGGTTATATGTTCCTGGGAGCTCTATTTTTTAAGATTATTTATTTATGTATTTTAGAGAGAGGGGAAGGAAGAGAGAGAGAATCATCAGTGTGAGAAACACCAATCAGTTGCCTCTCACACACCCTCAACCAGGGACCTGGCCCCTAATCCAGGCAAGCGCCCTGACAGGGAATCGAACTGGCAACCTTTTGCTTTGCGGGACAACGTCCAACCCATGGAGCCAGCGCAGTCAGGGCAAGGAGAGGGGCTCCTGAATGCTGTTTATAACGAGCCTGGTCTCTCACGCCCACAGAATCGACCCAGGGGAGTGGGGTGACTTAAGGACCTTTTGGGGAATCAAACAGAGAGTGTCCAGTGCTTCTAGAATCAGGGACACAGGTATAAGCTCTGCCCTTGACGTTCACTGAGCTCACAGTGAGAGTCCCCCTGGCCCCTCAGGCTGTCACAGGGGTGCCTGACAACCCCAGCCATTTTGGAACTTTCACAGGAAATTAACCTGGACCAAGTTTTGCATACGACTTAGTCTCCAGGTGAAGGAACCGAGAAGTTAGTCTGTGTTGGTTTAGGAGGCAGAGTTCAAGAACACCCTGGTGTGCCCTGCACTGGGACTGGCCTCCTGGCCTGGTCGTTTGGTTTGGACTCTTCCAAAGGTGGAAAAAGAGGAGAGAACTTGGTTTTGGTACAGCAATAACGACAAAACACAACTTCAGCAGCAGCAGCAGCAGGACCTGACCTTTGTTAGTGGTGCCGGGCTCTATCCTGCACGTTTGTGGGGCTGTTCATTCCCCTCATCCTTCCAAAAGCCCCGACAGGAAATGAGGCCCGAGGCTGCGCTCCCAGAGACCTTGTAACAACCAAGAGGTCACACAGCAGGGAGGAAATTCTACCTGGGGGGGCGGTGCATGCCAGTCAGCACCCCGCTGTCCTTGAGGACAGCAGGCAAACATCTCAGTTTTCCGCTTATTTTTCAATTGTACATATAACGGTATCTGTCTTCTGTCAAATTTGTATTGTTCCAGTGGTCAGTTTTAACTCTAATGAATAGTTTTTGCTTTTTGTGTTATCAGACATATTTTCCTTCCTGAGGTCATAAGCATCGTAGTCTATAATTTAAGAAATAATTTGACCATTTTGCTTGTCCCAGATAGATCTGGAATTCTACTCTGCATACAGTGGGAGATGAGAAAAAGCTCATTGTTGTCCATGTGAAAAGTCGATTGTTTTACATTTATCTCATTTATGTTCTTTTACACTTCTGTGTTAATTTTTAAATCAGTTTATCAAACCCCCTGAGAAAAAGATTCTGCTTGGCCTTGCTTTGAGATTATCACAGGATTTTAGGGGATGTCACCTTCATCAGCCTCCATAAGTTCTATGTATAGTTTGTTAAGCTTTTTTTAAAAAAAAAATCACAATTGCATGGACTTCTTTTGTAGCTTCAACCAATGATCTTATATTTTCCCGCAGTATAATCTTTAATATGGTGCTTTTAACATTGAAAGGTCTTTCCATGAGCGGTAGAATTCCATCTCCTGCTGTTCATCGAGGACTTTTGCATCTATGTTGATGCGTGAGGTCAGCCTACACTTTCTTCTAATGACCTCACCCAGGCTGGGTTTGCAGGTCACACCAAAAATCCTGTCGGCTTGTGACCGCGGCAGACTTGTACTGTGTCCTGGACAGTGCATGATGCTGTCACCGAGTGGACCCTGGGTGAGCTTTCATTACAGGGACGCATGGATCCTTAGACCGAGCTGGCTGACGTTTTGTCCTGCAGGAAAGGGACCTTGCTGCTGAACAATGTCTTCTCCATCGTGCCTGCCATCTTAATGGGATGCAGCGAAGTTGCCAAGTCCTTTGAGATGATAATCGTGTCTAGACTTCTGGTGGGCATCTGTGCAGGTGAGCGACGCTGTGCCGTGCTGGGGTGGAGAACAGACTCAGGGAGGGAGGCCGGGGTCTCTGAGGCGCCGATGTTCAAGCTGTCCCTCAGCTGCCATCTCGAATGACGCTCAAGCCCCTGCATCCGTCTCTGGCATGGAGAGTGGGCATATCTTCCTGCAATGTCTCCTGTGAAGACGGCTGCTCTCTGAAAGACTGCAGTACAGAGTCTCAGTTTTGGGGGGCAGCAGGTGGTCCTTCCGGTCCAGTCCCGTATCTTGGTGTTTTCCAAACAGCAGGTCGGGACCAGATAGTGGGTGGTGGCGGCTACTTAGTAAGAGCATTTTCTTTTGTAAAATAGAGTCAATTGCGCCACAGGCACTAAAGGGAAGGATTGTCTTTGGAAACTTTGGTTTCGGTTACTCATCTGTGCGTGTGTGTGACGTACATTGCTATGTGAAATGTGCTTCTGTAGCTCTTACCGTGGGTCATGGTCCAAAAAGTTTAGGAAACAACCTAACAGGTGGGACCCTCTAACAGGAAGGAGTTACCAACAGCAACCTCTCAACGTTCATAGGGGCATTTAAAGTTCCACTTCCCTTATTCCCTCCATGGCCACCTGCTGAGTGGTGTGAGCTCCTCACACCTGAGGTCTCTCCCCCGGCAAACCCTGGAGCTGATTGGCAAACCTGGCAGAGAGCTGGGCTGCCCCAGGCTGTTCTTTATCCTCAGGCCGTTCAGAAAATCCCCCCAGACAGTTGCTTCCGACTGAAGAGAGCTGGGGAAGCCCGGCCGTGGCCTTCCCTCAAGTTCACGTTCTTTTGTAGGCATGATTTGCCAGGCCGCTCAAGGTGAGCGAGGTGCCTGGGTGTAGAGCTAGGGGGTGTCACTCCTGGGGCTGAGCACGTGCTGGTGGGCACCTCACTTGTCTGTTCCACGTGGCCCTGGCATTGCCAAATAACTCAGTTCTCCTTCCAAACATGGGGATAGGGACACACGGCTGATTTCGCCAGATGTGAGCAGACTTCTGGGCTGAGGGAGCTGACCGCCGAGGAGATGGGCAGGAGGCCAGTGTTGGGGGAAGTGACGGGGACCTGTGGGGCTGGGGAGAAGCAGAGGAGAAGAAGACGCCAGAAGAGAGTCAAGGTCATCTCAGGGCCAGAACGGCGACCGCCTGGCAAACCTCACTTGTGACTTGTGACAGAGGGCAGCAGGACAGGCCCCTGCCATCCTGGCCTGGGCCCCGCGAGCACCTGGCCCTGCCCACCTGCTCACTCTTTCCTGCCGGGACTCTGCTTTATGTGCAATGGATGCTTCCTAGAAGTTATCAGCAGGGCCCAGAGGCCGTCACCTTCCCATTGACCATCCAGAGTCAGGTCTTCCAGGGAAGCCTTCAGCTCCAGGGGGTAACAGATCCCGGTTAAAAATCCCAGCCTTGGCTCTGAAATTTGCATTCCTTTATGTCAGCGGCTCTCAACCTTTGGGCCTCAGGACCCCTTGCTCTTAAAATATTTAAGGGCTCCCAAGAGCTCTCACTCATGTGGGTTCTCTTGATCAGTATTCACCATATTGGGAACTGCAACAAAGAAATATATTAACTCATTTAAAAATAGCAATAATAAGCCCTGGCCATTAGTTCAGTTGGTTCAAGTATCGTCCTAATAAGCTAAGGTTGTGGGTTGAATCCCCAGTCAGGGCACATAGAAGAAGCAACCAATGAGTGCATGAACACACGGAACCACAAATCAGTGTTTCCTCTCTCTCTCCCCAGCCTCCCTAGAATTAAGAAATAAAGACATTTTAAAATAGTAATAATAAGCCTGTTACATGTCTTTATGAAAATAACTATTTTCTAAAGCAAAAATTTTGTGAGAAAGGTCGCTGTTGCTTTACAGTTTTACGGCTCTTTCATGTCTGGCTTCATGAAGGGCAGCCAGTTCTCAAACCTGCTCCTGTGTCCTGCCGGTTCTGATACCCCGGGGTGCGTGGCGTCGCCCCCCCCCTCCCCCGGAACACTGCGAGGATGGGATTGCAGCAAGCATCTCGGGAGGGTCCTGAAAGTTCGTTTTGATCTCGCAGACCCCCTGGGGAGGTGTCAGGAGACCCCTGTGTCCTCAGACCATGCCTGGAGGACACAGCAGAGGCATCAGTTGTCCGTGGTGAATCCTTTCCCAACCTCCCGAGAAAGTTGGAAAAGTGTGAAACCAAGCTCCTTGGCTAAGGACAAAAGCAGCAAACAGCCGCTCTGACCATCACAGCAAGAGGGAAACACCGCGAGGGCTTCCAGGGGGTCCCGGTGGCCAGCTGCTCCTCAGCAGCTGCCTGGCCAGAACCCAGGTGCTTTGCCTGGGGGATGGGAACTTCAAAGGCCACTTTCTCTGACCCTGGTTCCAGCACAGGTTGGAGGAGGTCACCCCATGGAGTCATTTTTAAGACAAAATAGAGACCAACAGGAAGGGGGTCCTACCTCTTCACAAGCTGCGGGATGTCTCACTCTTCAGTGCCCATCTTCATCGGGGTTGGAATGTCCTGGCCTTAGGACTCGGCCACCAGGGCCTGAGCGGTGTGACCGGGGAGCCCTCCCCAGGCTTTTGGGTGCTGGGCCCGCAGGCGCCCCCCTCCCAAGACGACTAAGAGCTGCTCCAGAGACGGCGCCTCTTTGCTCCGAAAATCAGGAGGAATCAGTGATGGAGGGCGAGGTCTCTTTACAAACACTATGCAGGAACATCCTTGGGCTCAATTGCAAAGCCTGACAACCTGACCTGCGATTCCATCCTCCGCGTTACCAAATTCTGCTCATTGCCAGAAGCTCCACCCTCCACTCCCTGCAACTCACCCTCCTCCTGGCCTCCCCCTGGGCGGAGCCTGGCTCTCAGACCCCGCCTCTTCCTGAGCTTTACCAGGCCTAGTAACGACCCACCTGACCTTCCTCCGAGGTTCCCAGCCTTTTGAAGGGCTCTAAGCTAATTAAATGTGGTAGTATACGTACAGAAACTTTGGAGCCTGTGAAATTAATCCTACCTGTTCTTACAGGTATCCAACGCCAGTAAGATGGGAAAACGTGTCCCCTTAAATACTGGGAATCCTGAACTAGCCTGGGCATTGCATGCACCCCAGCCAGCAGTTGTTCCACAATAGAGTTTCTGATGCTTGGGATAAGCAGCTTCGGGGACTCTGCACCAGCTTCCTATGTGATACACTGACTCAGGAGGCGAAGCTGGTGGGCGGGGGACCTTGACCTTTCACTGGTAGATCCCCCCAAGGAGCAAGAGAGCGGAGAGTGTCTGGCTCACACCCTGCGTTTCTTTGCCGGACCAACCAGTGGGTGGGGGAGGCCTGCAGCCAGGTGTGCCTGGGTGACGCCAGTCAGGAAACATAGGCACCCGTCCCTGCCCTTCTTTGGTTGAACTGTCTTCTCTTTCCTCAAAGGTTAAAGTACCAAGAATTAAAAGCGGTGTTTGCTTACTTCGGCCATTCGGTTTTGAGAAAGACTCAGCCCAAAGGACGTGCTCGCTGAGTGAGAATGAGTCTATTTGAAGGCCTGGCCCGTCCCTGCCAGACTCAGTTTCCTGATCGTGTTTTTATTTCTCCTTCCTCCTAGGTCTGTCTTCCAACGTTGTCCCCATGTACTTAGGGGAGCTGGCCCCCAAGAACCTGAGGGGGGCCCTGGGCGTGATGCCCCAGCTCTTCATCACTGTCGGCATCCTTGTGGCCCAGATCTTCGGCCTTCGGACCCTCCTCGCCACCAAGGAAGGTAGGCTCGGTTTGCCTGCGGGGCCCCAGCCCTCCCTCTGCCCAGCCAGACATTCCTGGGAGCCAGGCTTTCCTCTGAAATCAGCTGGCTGTCCTTCTAGGCCCCCACCTGGCCACAACCCCACACGGTTGTGGGGATGGAGTGGCTGACATATTTTAGTCCCTCTTAGGACACTGGTGAGGTGGCTTTGAGCGAGCAGGAAGCACAGCTGTCTGGCTTTCTCTCAGCCAGACAGTGACAGTCAACACACAGGCTGGGGTCATGGTGACGGCAGGCTGGTCTCTGCACCAGTAGCCTCCAGGCTCCTCCTCCCGGCAGCACCACCGCCAGGGGGCTGTGTGTGGTCAGCTTGCATGCGACCCAGTCCGTGGGCCAGGCAAGGAGTCACAGGGCCACCCAGATCCTGCCTCCAGAGCCATACACCCCGTCCTAAGAGCCTAGGGCCTGGCATATAGTAGGTGCACAGTAACTCATAACCGTCATTGTGTTTGCGTGACCTCCCCTTTCTCTGTCTCCGGGCTCAAACCTCTGAAAGGAAAATCAGCATTAATAACACCTGTCAGTGTGTATAAAGTGCTCGTTGAGGGCCAGGCACAAGATCTTCTGTATCAGTTCATTAATCCCCTGAGCAACGTGGAAAACACACACTGGTGTTGTACCCATTTTGCAGATGCAAAACTGTGGCATAGAGAGATTGGGTAACATGTTCAAGGTCTCATTCGGACACAAACCCAGACAGCTCAACCACCTTTTTAGGCCAGGTTTAACCACCGTTCTTTCCCACCTTTTAGTCCCCATTGGAGGGAGCGGGGACCAGGGTGGAGGAGGTAGGTCCCCATCTTCTGGCGATGGCGCGGGAACAAGCGGCAGGGCCCAGAGCGACTGCCCTGGCGTCGGTGTGCGGGAGGGGCCTCAGAGAGGGCCTGCCCCTGTGCAGAGCAGCACTGGGCTCCCGGCAGGGGCAGAGGGTGTGAACGTGTGGAAGTTCTCTGCTCATCTGGGGCACCATACATGTTGTGTTGGGCTGCATTCCGTGCCCATCTTCGCTGAGACTCTGACATGACCAGGGTCACAGAGGGCAGGGCATGGCCTCATTCATCTTGGACTCCCCAGCACAGTCCCTGGCACAGAATAGGTGCTCAAAGAACAAGGGAGGGAGGGAGGGAGGGAGGCCCAAAGAGAACAGGTCAGAGAGGGAGCATCAGAGAGGGAGCGGCAGTCACGGTGCAATGTTGGGGGGTCAGGACTGAAATGCGGGGTCTGGATTTGGTAGTTCAAGGTCTCAGAAGATTTTCTTTTTTTATATATATATATATTTTTAATTTTTTATTGATTATCCTGTTACAGTTGTTCTATTCCCCCTTTCATTCCCCTCCACCCTACCCCCCCATCCCCACCATTACCCCCCCCTTTAGTTTATGACCATGTGTCTCAAGTCCTTTAGATTCTATATTTCCCATGCTATTCTTGCCCCCCCCTTCTATTTTCTATCTGCTGTCTATGCTACTTGTTTTCTGTACCTTCTCCCCCCTTCTCCTCCTCCCACTCCCCTGTTGCTAACCCTCCTTGAGATCTTCATTCCTATGTTTCCACTCCTGATCTAGCTGTCCTTTTAGTTTGCTTTTGTTTTAGGTGTGGTTGTTAATAACTGTGAGTTTGTTGTCCTTTCACTGTTCATGTTTCTTTAACTTCTTTTTCTTAGATAAGTCCCTTTAACATTTCATATAATAAGGGCTTGGTGATGATGAACTCCTTGAATTTGATCTTATCTGAGAAGCACTTTATCTGCCCTTCCATTCTAAATGAAAGTTTTGCTGGATAGAGCAATCTTGGTTGTAGGTCTTTGGTTTTCATGACTTGGAATACCTCTTTCCAGCCCCTTCTTGCCTGTAAGGTCTCTTTTGAGAAATCTGCTGACAGTCTGATGGGGACTCCTTTGTAGGTGACTGTCCCCTTAGCTCTTGCTGCTTCTAGGATTCTCTCCTTCATTTTAATTTTGGCTAATGTAATTATGATGTGCCTTGGTGTGTTCCTTCTTGGGTCCAATTTCTTTGGGACTCTCTGAGCTTCCTGGATTTCCTGGAAGTCTATTTCCTTTGCCAGATTGGGGAAATTCTCCTTTATTATTTGTTCAAATAAGTTTTCCACTGGTGGCTGTGCCTTTCCCCCTTCTGGTACCCCTATAATTCGGATGTTGGAGCGTTTAAAGATGTCCTGGAGGTTCCTAAGACTCTCCTCATTTCTTTGAATTCTTGCTTCTTGACTCTTTTCTGTTTGGCCATTATTTGCTTTCTTCTGGTCCATTCCATTGATTTGAGTCCCAGTTTCCTTTTCATTGCTATTGGTGTCCTGTGCAATTCCATTCATTTCAGTTAGTTTCACCTTCATATATTTGTCTAATTTGTGGCTATAATCAACCAGTTCTGTGAGGATCCTGATGACCAGTGTTTTAAACTGTGCATCTGAGAGTTTTGCTATTTCTTCATTGCTTAGATCTATAGGCTCTGGGGCTTTGAGATCTTCCTGCGCCATTTTTGGTCTGTTTGTGCCCTTTAAGTGTGAGAAGCGGTGCCTTGGACTCCCAGGTCGCTGGGTTGTGACGCTGTATGTGGGGGCGTGGTCAGAGCGGGGAAATGGCGACCCCCTCTGCTGTTTTGCACCACTGGGTGAGGAGCAGCACCTGAGGTGGTTCACCTGGGCCGGGCCACTCAGAGTCGCTGGGTTATGATGCTGTATGTGGAGGTGGGGTCAGAGCAGGGAAATGGCGGCGCCCTCCACTGCCGCCTGCCACAGGGACCCGCCGGGCCCCGGTCCAACCGCCCACTTCCTCACCTGTCCACCCGCGCACAAATGCGGGACCACAGTCAACACGCAGCACCGCTCCCCCGCTGTCTCCCCCACGGTCGCTCGCTCGGTCGCTCACTAGGTCCAACCCTGCGCCTGGATTCCGCGCACCTGAGTCCGTCTGACCGAGTTTTCCTGTGCAATCCCGCTTCACCAGCCGCTGGTTTCTCCCCTTACCGGTCAGGCTGAAGAATTTATTGTTAACGGACTTCTGAAAAGTTCAATTTTCTGTGTTCTGGCTGTGTTTTCTGTTGCTAATATTTAGTTGTCTCTAAACTTGGTTGTGTGAGAAGGCACGGCACATCCACCTATGCCTCCATCTTGGCGGAAGAAGTCTCTCAGAAGATTTTCAGTGTAGGGGTGAGTGGGTGTGGGGACCAGCGGCCAGACAGCGGTGGCCCGAGTGGGAGGTGAGTGCACACTTGCCATGAAGGCGTGAAGCAGGATTAGTGAGGCCCAGGTTCACAACTGAGATCAGGAAGAGATGGTCCAGCCTGTGGGGGGTGGGGGGGTTGGGCAGCAGTTGAACTTGACATTGCATAGCACTCATTTTCTTGGTGAAGAGCCATGGGGTTACGGGATGGGGGAGGTTCAGAGGTTGAAACATGACTTGAAATAGATGGTGTCTAAATGGTGGGTGTTCTTCATTTATTTTGCTTCCATTTCCATGGCTGGAATCTATTTAATAAGAGACAGTGGTGAACTTCTGGTTGTCGGGCGGCCCTCACCTCCCCTCACCTCAGTTTGACTGAGAATCTGCAACCAGTGGTTCAGAGGGCCCAGGGTTCAACATACCTGAGCTCAAATCTTGCTCCTAAATAACTGCTCTTGGACAAGGGGCCTAAACCCTCGGGGCCTCAGTGTTTGCACACGCAAAATGGGGTGCGTCCTGGTGCCCACCTGTCAACATCGCTGGGATGGAGAAGTAGGGTCACCCGTGAAGAGCTGACTGACGAGTGTCCAGCACAGAGATGTCCATGGTCATCCCCGACAGCAAGCCGGAGGGGGTGGTGAGTCAGGGCATTAGTAGCTCCTAGAAGGAACTACTCACTCACGGACATATTTTCACTGTGAGATAAAGCCCACAGAAGAAAGAACGCATGAAACACAAATGTACATTTAGTCAGAGAGAAACCATACGCCCGCGTGACCACCACCCCGGTCCAGAGCCAGGGCTGAGCCAGCCCCCGGAAGCCCGTGGTGTGCTCCGTGATCGTACCTTCCCACCCCGAAAGGCCCCGCTGTGTTTACGTCAATGACCGTCTCCTCCTTGCTGTGCCCTGTGGTCTCACCACCTTTCCCAAGCACAGAGCTCATCTCCCCTTTCTGGGCCTTCCCCGGTGGGACCCTCCGAGTAGCTGACGGTGCCTGGCACCGCATTTGCGAGACAGGCTCCTTGGCATCTTGCTTCATTTACACTGCAGTATAGAATTGCACGTGGTGAACACGCCACAGTTTACACAGCTCTTCCACCCCCACGGCGCCTGCACTGCTTTACTGTATGTCCAGGGTTGCTCTGACCATTCCAGTCAGGGCGTCCTGGTGGCCCGGGCACGTGCCCGAGCAGGACTGTTGGGTGAGTGGGGAGGGCGTCCAGCACCGCCAGCTGGGAGCTGTCCGGCCAGACTGTCGTCTTAAGATTCCACACCACGTCCACACGACGAGAGTGTGGAGACTTCCCATCTGCCCACATTCTCACCAGCACTTGGGGGTGTCGGAGTTTTTCATTCATCCACCTGGGAGGTGGGCACTGGCCCTTCGTCGCTGTCCCAGGTGCCATCCTAGGGGCTGGGGACGTGGGGAATGAGAAAGACCAAGGTCCTGCCCCCTCAGAGCCTGGTGGCAGCACCGATCAGGGCAACGGGACTGGGCGGCCATCCGGGTGCCGTGGGGGTGGCAGCAGGGAGGGGCAGGACTCTTGGCTGGGGTTTGGGGCCTCTGTGGAAGGTAGCGTTGCAGCTGCACTCATGGGAGGCACTGGCTTCCTCGCAGGCTGGCCCATCCTCCTCGCTGTGACCGGGATCCCGGCTGTCATGCAGCTTCTGCTGCTGCCCTTCTTCCCCGAGAGCCCCAGGTACCTGCTGACTAAGAAGAAAGACCAGACAGCTGCCAAGAAAGGTAAGGCTGTCCCGTGGGAGGAGGGACAGGGCCCATGTTGTCACATCTTTGCTCTGGGGAAGCGGCGGCCCAGCCTCAGACTGGCCCCCCCCCACTGCCCCTTCCCTTAGCACTGCAGACGCTGCGTGGCTGGGAAGAGGTAGACGCTGAGATGGAGGAAATTCGACAGGAGGACGAGGCCGAGAGGGCCGCCGGCTCCATCTCCGTGATAAAGCTGTTCAAGCTGAGGTCCCTGCGGTGGCAGGTCATCTCCATCATCATCCTCATGGCTGGCCAGCAGCTGTCGGGAGTGAACGCGGTAGGGGGGCAGCCAGGGGCTGGGGCAGCGGGCAGCACCCAGGCCGAGGCAGGGGGAGCCCCACCAACCTCTGGGCTTGCCTTCCAGATCTACTACTACGCAGACCAGATCTACCGGAGCTCAGGGGTGAAGGAGAATGACATCCAGTACGTGACGGCGGGCACGGGGGCCGTCAACGTGGTCATGACCGTGTGCGCCGTGAGTGCCCTGGGGACCGAGGCCTAGCAGCTGCTGTGGGTGGAGGGCGCCTCAAGACTCGGGGTCCTAGCTGAGAAAGGAACCCAAGGCTGAGGCAGCAACACACCCCTCGGCCCCTTCCTGCTCAGCCTCCGGGCCCCTCAGAAAGGGGGGTGCTCCTGGGATGGGCCAGGAGCTTCCAGCGAAGGCAGCTCCGGCAGGAGCAGGCCTGGTGGGTGTTGGGGCTCCTGAACCTCCCTGCCTTTCTGGGGCCTCTTCCCTTCCAGGTGGTCGTGGTGGAGCTTTTGGGAAGGAGATTCCTGGTCCTCCTGGGCTTCTCCACCTGCTTCATTGCCTGCTGTGTGCTGACGGTCGCTCTGGTTCTGCAGGTGAGCGGGGTGGGGCCCAGGTGCACCACAAGCGACCCCTAGACCCACCCCCAGGAGCCCACTTCCCACCAATCTTCCAGTGGCACCGAGTGTCACTGCCTGCTGAAGGGGGAGCCAGACAGAGAACCGGCCCTCTGGGAGGCCAGATTCCAGACGCTCCCCATCCCGGCCATCTCTGCTTCACCAGGTGTGATCGAACTCTTTCTCCCCCACAGGACACAGTATCCTGGATGCCTTACCTCAGTATCACCTGTGTCATCGTCTACGTCATAGGACACGCCCTGGGGCCCAGTATGTACTCCAGGACTGGTTCTATGCTTCCGTTGCCCTCCCCACCCCCTGCACTGTCTGCTGTAGACACTCCTGGCTTGAGCTCCTTGGAGGGGCTCAGGGAAGGCCCGTCTTGCTGCTGCAGCAGGGTCTGGGCAGAGCATGGCCAGGGCGAGAACGGTCAAGCCGTCCGTGTGGGCTGAGGCATGTTTTCCTGGGATTGGCCGTGAGAGCCTTACAGGTGGTCACAGGCCCTCTTTAGGGACATCATAGGATGTCACTTATTGTGCTGAATTCTTGCCTTTGGCCTTCTCACACTGCTCGCGCACAGGACAGGGAGTACTGAAGACGCGCCGCCCCTACCTTATCTCCTTGCCCACGGCAGGGGCTCCAGCACCCTTGGTGTGGGCTTGCTCTTCCTCGAGGGAGTACAGCTGTCCCTCTTGCCCCCCAAGGTCCCATCCCCGCGCTGCTTGTCACTGAGATCTTCCTGCAGTCCTCCCGGCCCTCTGCCTTCATGGTGGGGGGCAGCGTCCACTGGATCTCCAACTTTACCGTGGGCTTGCTCTTCCCCTTCATCCAAGTAAGTGTGACCCCGGGGGCCCTGGACTGCACAACCCTCAAGCAGGAAAGGGAAAACCTTTTCGAGAAAGTGAGCCTGGCTCATCTCCCCACAGGACGGCCTCGGAGCCTACAGCTTCATCCTCTTTGCTGGAATATGCTTCCTCACCACCATCTACACATTCCTGGTTATCCCTGAGACCAAGGGCAAGACGTTCATGGAGATCAACCAGATTTTCGCCAAGAAGAACAAGGTGTCAGAGGTGCACCCAGAAAAGGAGGAACTGAAGGACCTTCCGCCCTCCACTTTGGAGGAGTAACTCAAGAGGAGGAGCCTGTTAAGTGGGTCTGTGCCGAGCTCTCTTCTTGGGGCTTTTTTCTGACTAATAGCTGCCTGTACATATTCAGAACTAGGACGAGTCCAGGGTGGAGCGCAGGCCCACCGGGACTGCCTGAAGGGCTTCTGCGCGTTTCTCAAAGCCAGGCTGTCTCTCCTCAGCCTGACCCAGCACCAACCCCGAGTCAGTGAGCCGCCGGCCCTCCCCCGTGGCCTGGCCAGCCATCGTGCGGCTCCGGTGACACCAGCTCTTGGGACAGAAATCATTACCGTGCTGGTCAAATAGAAGGGATCCAATCTGGCCAGAGAAACAAACTCTTCTCCAGTCCCGTGGGTCTTCCGGGGGCCACGGGTGTGTGTGCAGAGCAGAAACTCCTTCTCTGGTGAGATCCGGCTCCAGAATCACCACCCTTGGCGAGTGCAGTGTCAGGAGTAAGGATGCCCAGGAAGTTGGGGAACAGTTCCCTGCGGAGACTTTAACCAAGTCGGAGATGATTGACCCTGAATTGTATTGTTAGAAGACAATGCAGTCGCCTCTGTGTACTCAATAAAACAAATGTGATCGCTCTCACCAAGACCTGGTGCTTCTCTGTGCTCCGGTGGCTGCACCTGAGTCTCAGCCCCGCAGAGCGTGGGTCTGGCCGGTCGCGTTTCTCCCAGAATCTCCACTGTGCAGTGCAGGAAGGGAGGAGGCCCGGGGGGCCATTTCTCCTGAAAGAAGGAGAGACCTGAGAGACAAGGTGGTTGCCAAGCTGTGAGTTTTTGAAATTTAAGATCGAGGAAGCCACTGCCTGTCCCCCTGTGCATGGTGAACAGCGTGGGGCCCTGAGGTGAGGCGGGGAGGGAGGAAGGGGGAAGAGTGTTCCCCGCGGATGCAGCGGAGCCTGCAGCTTTGCGTAAAGACCTGCGCGTGTTAAAGTGACGTGTTCGAGAAGGCCCAGAAAACTTGGTGGCGTGGAAAGGGAACCTGGAGGGAGCACCTGAATAGAAAATCTGGTATTGGGGGCGACTGAAGGGGATCAGAAACAGCTTCGAGGGAGTAGGATAAAGCGTTCAATAACGAGCAAGGGTGTTGAGGGCCCAGACAAAGTAAATAGCGCTGGGCGACAGCAATGAGGAAAACCGAGTCGTGGAAGGAGGGGTGGGAAGGAAGAGGGAGCAGCAGAAGGGACTGAGAGGGAGACGGGGGTCAGCAGTTTTCCTCCACCCGGTTGGAAGGTCACTTTCACAGAAGATGAACAGGGCCAGCCAGGTGGGCCCGGCCGACAGGGCAGGCAGCAGGGGCAAATGTGTCCTGAAGCGAGAGAGGGCTGGCCAAGGTGCAGGCAGTGACGAGGACTCAGGGCAGAGAGGGAGAGGCGACAGGAAGGAGATTCCTAGGCTAGGGTGTCCTGAGCTGATCTGCCATTTGGAGTCCTTCCAGCTTTCTGGGAGGAGATCAGACCCTTTCCCAACCATCTCCAACTGGGTTCAAGCCCCAGGTCTGCCTGGGAGCGCCCTGGTGCACACAGGGAGATACTGGCAGGTGGGGGGTGGAACTCTATCAAACGAGGGGCGCAGGGGCCACCAAAGAAGGCCCAGCTGCAGCTCTGGCATCTTCTGGGGCCGGAAAAGGAAGTGTCCATTGGACTTGATGACGCAGCCCCCTCAGGAGAGCCTGTCTGAGCGGCGTGAGGGCCGAGGGTCCCGCTGGGGTGACCGCAGGGAAAACACCAGCGCCTACACTTGTCTTTATTTCTCCCTCCCTCCCCAATTCCCGGCTGAGTGTGTGTTTTTTTTATCACACTACACATACATGTGTATCCCTTATAAGCAACAAATATGCATATACTGGAGATTTGTGTTCAAAATTTTATTCCTGATGGATGAGGTAAATGGAAAAGGTTTGGAGACCAGAGGGGTCAGGCTGACTACAAGGTAAGTGAGGTCAAAGGAGCAATGACACTCTGGAAGAATTGAAAAAGCGTTAGGACATCGGAGGTCCCTTGGATGCAGGTCAAGGTCAGTCAAGTTCAGGGCAGTTAGCTGGAGAAGGAGTTGGAGATGGAGGAGGGGCTATAGACCCCCAATTGTTCACCGCTGTATCCACCACGCTGAGAGCAGTGCTGGCTCACAGCAGGGGCCCCAGGAACATTCGGAATGGATGGCCGGCTGGTTGGAAACAGGGAAGGCGGGACAGAGTGAGGCCCAGCGATAGGCGTCACTGGGGAGGCGCTGCCCCACCCCACCCCCCGTGGGGACACAGCGTCCCAGGGCAGGCAGCTGGAAGGCAGAGTTCACAAATGGTTTCCACACTTCTGGATGTCACTGACCCAAAGTGGGTGATCTAACACTGGCTGCCTACATTTTATTTTGCAAGCAAAACCACTAAAAAATGAATAAATCAATCACTCCCAACTACCATCAGAATGAGAAATAGGCGATTTTTTAAAGGGCATTTTGATGCCCTTTTTAAAAGGGCATTCCTGGTTATCCCTGAGACCAAGGACAAGACGTTCATGGAGATCAACCAGATCTTCGCCAAGAACAAGGTGTCAGAGATGTACCCAGAAAAGGAGGGACTGAAGGACCTTCCACCCTCCACTTTGGAGGAGCCTGTCAAGTGGATCTGTGCCGAGCTCCCTTCTTGGGGCTTTTTTCTGACTAATAGCTGCCTGTACATATTCAGAACTAGGACGAGTCCAGGGTGGAGCGCAGGCCCCACCGGGACTGCCTGAAGGGCTTCTGCGCATTTCTCAAAGCCTTCTGTCTTCCTCCAGTCCAGCCAGGAAATGAAAACCATAAGCAAAAAGGAATCATGGGACAGTGAGAGCTGACCACACGGAAGCCCACTGTGTCCAGCTTTGCATCTGCCCTGCACCGTCTTTACCAGCTGAGCAGCTGGACAGTGTCTCGCAAGGAGCTAGGCCCGCGTTAATAATGTCAAATGAGTGAATGCTAACTCAGTGGCCTTCCAGGAAAAGGCAAACAAACCAACTGTGAGCTGAGGCTCCAAGAACAGTGAGGTCTGTACTGGAACAGAAGCTGGGGTGTCTTGGACGGAAGCAGAGGGAGCACCATAACTCAAGGACATTCATTCATTCATTCATTCATTCATTCAACCAGTATTTTAGAACACCTGCTACGTGCCAGGCAGTGGATATAATGGATCTAACAGCCAAGAACAGGTAAACAAATACTTAAGATCATTTCAGGTAGCACTTGGGGTAAAGCGAGGGAGATGGTCTGGCAAGGGCTGGTTTGCTTTAGCAAGGCTGGTCATAGGGAGGACGTCTGCTCGCCCACCCAGGCGAAGACCCTGAGGCTGAAAAGCCACCTCCAGAAACCAGGCATGGAGAAAGGCCAAAGAAAGGCGCCGGCCACCCCAGTCTGGTCAGGAATAGAGTGTAAAACTTCTTTCTGATGGTTTTTAATCCTCACCCAAGGATATGTTTATTGATTTTATCATTTTTTAAAAATTGTATTTATTTTTTAGAGAGAGAGAAAGGGAAGGAGAAAGAGGGAGAGATAATGAGAGAGGCATCCAATAGACATTGCTCTCACACAGAGATCTCTCTGTGTGAGATGTCTCTCGCGTCCCCACCTGGGGACCCAGCCCACAACCCAGGCATGTGCCCTGACTGGGAACTGAACCTGCCACTTTTCAGTTCACAGGCTGGCACTCCATCCACTGAGCCACACCAGCCAAAGGCTGTTTATTGATTTTAGAGAGACAGAGAGAAAGAGACATCAGTTGCCTCCCATATAAACCCTGATCAGGGATTGAACCTGTGACCCAGATATGTGCCCTGACCAGAAATCAAACCCGCAACCTTTTGGTGTACAGTACAATCTTCCGACCAACCAGGCCACTTGACCAGGATCAATCAATAAAGTTCGTTAAGGGGAAGTTATATATGAGGCAAGTCTTGGGTGGCTGCGACATGAAATGACTCCCTGGGCTGCTCGGCAAGTACCTAGAGTAGAGGGAGCACCGAGCAGGCACAGGTACTAACTAGTACGTGAGTGCGACCAGGTACGGGAAGTTACATGCGTGACCAGGCGGGGACTGCAGGCTGTTCCAGGACCCACTGCACAGCCGGAGGCTCGGGAGGGGGGCTGGTTTATGCTGAATGAACATCAGTGACAACCAGTCTCTCAGGTGAGTGTCACAGTGAGTGGTCTCCCAGGTCCGGCCCAGGCCCACTCGTGGGTCTGGCAGCAGCCCCACCACGGAACAGTCCCTCCTTCACAGCGGACTTCCCCGAGGGGGTGACGTTCAGCTGGGACCCAGGGGAGGATGTTTCAAGTAGAAGGAACAGCAGGAAGGAGCTTGGGTTTGCAATCCGCTTGACTTTGTTACTGTGGTCGACTTAGAAAGGCAGGGGAGACACCCAGAGTTAGCCAGCGCCGTCGCCATCCCGTGAGAGCAATGGGACCAGCCAGGCAGGAGGCACAGTGAAGGAGCGCAGGACTCCACACGGCGGTAGAGCCGACCGGCCTGGTGGGCCAGCACTCAGGAGACTTCGGAGCAAACTGAAAGGTGGCTGCGGTCCCCCGCAGTGTGCCCAGGTCCTGATCCCCAGACCCGTGACTGTGTTTTGGGACGTGGCAAAGGGGAATTGAAATTGCAGGTGGCATGAAGGTTGCTGATCGGCTGACTCTGAGATGGGAGAGTATTGTGCATTATTCAAGGGGACCCGATGTGGCCGCGTTGAAGAGGGAGACCCGGGAAGACAGCCGCACAAGAAAGACTCAGTCTCCGGTTGAGGCGTTGAAGAGGGAGGAAGGGGCCACGAGCCAGAGAGTGCAGGGGCCTCCAGCAGCTGGAAAAGGCCAGGAAACGGGTCCTCCCTGGAGCCTCCCGGGAGGCACACAGCTCCGCGGACACCTCGGTTTTAGCCCCAGGAGACCCGAGTCACAATTATGACCTCCAGAACTGTAAGGTAGTAAACATGTGCTGTTTTAAGCCAGTAAGTGTGTTGGTAACTTGTTACAGCACCCACAGGAAGCTCATACAGACCTTGGTACTGGGAGCGGGAGAAACTGTAGCAAATACTTAGAAATATGGCAATGGCTTTGGCACTAGGTAACGGGAAGAGGCTGAAAGAAATTTGAGGAGCACAATAGAAAAAGCCTCCATTGCCTTGAACGGACTGTTAGTAGAGATCTGAATGTCAATATTTCACTGTGCACCAGTTGGCCGGCTGTGCTGCCACGGTTAAGAGGCTGGTAAGTGCCACGGAGGGGAGAGACCAGTGTATGAGTGAAGGTCACCGAGAAGAGGCAGTTCACACACCAGGCTCTAGTGATGCAGCATCTATCACAGCAAGACAGCAGAGAGCGTGCGCACCAGATCCAGCCCCTCGCAGCGTGTCCGTGCCCCCATGGGGCAGCCATGAGGGGTAGTGGGGCTGCAGGGCCCTGACTCTCCCCACGGGGTCTGAAAAACAAAGCGGGGGGGCAGGCTGCATACACTTTGAGCAAAGCCCAGGAGCACCCCCTCAGCCTGAAAGAAAGAAAGAGCATAGCCCCTCAGGGCTCACTATGGCTTGGTTGGAAGTGTCTCTGCCCATTCTTATGGGACAGAGTTAGCTACACAAGCCTTTCCTAACAGCTAACAACCCTGCTGGCCAGGCCTCCGAAGCCATGAGGGGCACAGCGGGGAAAACACGGGGCTTCAGAGCAGCGATTTCCACTGGTACGGAGCCTCGAGGTTTCTTAGTCCAGGCAGTGACCTCTTTCCCTTAGATCATCAAACAAAAAATGACAATGGCCAACACAACCACAGCCGTTCAGTGTGAATGAAAGTTATCTTTTTTTTTTTTGGTCAGGTTGGCAAGAATTAATTTCTGTGCTAGAATTTTAGTAATTAGCTTATGTGTGCCACAAGAGGAAAAAGGTAGAAAATCGGTGCTTTACAGAACATGTAAATTGTGACGAGCAGACCGTTGGGTGACATAAGGACCTCGAGTTCTCTGTCCCATGGGGCACCCTCAGGCCACCATCCCCAGGCCCACAAATTTTTTTATGCAGCCGCCCAAGTGTCTTTTGCTTTGGTGACTTAATATGTTGCCACATTCTTACATAACTTTCACAATTGTCCTTTGAAACAAGAGCCTGCCGCAACCGATTCAGCCACTCCCACTTCATTTCTCCTTCATGGAGATAATTCAGAAACGAACACCTCAAGATTTTACTGAATTATTTAATACCATAGGTGTAGTTAGAAATAATTAAGTTGTATTTCTTTGAAAGCATTTTGTTTGCTCTCCCCCCCCAAGTGAACAGTTAGTCCACATCTGTAAGAGGAAACTCAGAAAACTCACATGGAAGCAGCACTGAGGAGCCCCCGGGACCCCCCGGCAGTCGGGCCCCGTTCCAGGGACCGAGGCAGGCAGTGTTTCCCCCTCTTTGGTGGAATGGAGCAGCTTCTGGTTTGGGGCTCAGTGGAGGCAGAGACAGAATCCATGCTGCGTGTCTGACGTATCTTATCGCTCCATCCAAGGAAAACGGGCTCCTGGGGAAAGTCGCTGGGCCCAGAGGACAAAAGGCAATAAAGCCACATAGTCCCTGGGAGAAAGGGCTGGCACTGTGCAGACCCAGGCATCGCTCGGGAGGCAGAACACAATTGTTTCCCACCTGTGCCAGATGGAGATGCCCAGCCCACCCAGGAGGGGGGTCAGTGCCAAGACTAGGAAACCCACCAGAAGGGGGGACCTGTTTCGGGGGGAGGAGAGGCCCCTGAAATGCCTGTGGCAAAGCAAGGGCAGCACTGCCCTGCCTTTCCTGGGGTCGCTGGCCCAGGGAGGTCAGCGTGGGGACAGCCACTGTCTCAGACACCCCAGCGCAGACACAAGAGAGGGAGATTGAGTCTGGCTCTAAAGAATTGTGGGCGACTGGGTGAGGTTAGAGACGCCACCCTTCTTGCAGGGCCGGTCCTGTCCTTGCCCCATTCCCCAGCCTCCGAGGGTGACAGGGTCCTGCACCGCACCCTTCTCTGTACCCGCTCCGGGCCTGCAGGGCTGAGGTCTATCGGCAGTCACCCAGCTGACCGTGGGGGTGGGAGTCAGGGAACCCGAGGGCTATGGCTCTGGATCGGCTGGTGTCTTGGAGTCCGGGGAAGCTTCAACTCAGGCAGCTGCCTCCGCCCCAGAGTGGGCTCTGGGGCCAGTCCCCCAGAGCTGCCCTGGGTGCTGTGGGGGACTTTCCTGAGTGCCTGCCCTGGAGGAAAGGGGACACCCGTCTTAGAGGTGCTTCTTGGTGGGGGCGGGGCTTGGCTCTGACTCCTCCCCTGAAGCTCATAGGCTGCTTCCTCTCACCCACTGGGGTTCAGCCCTAAGGTCCTGCCTCGGCCTGGGGAGGCCTGTTCACCCTACTGAAAAGGGCCCCTCCTTCCCGGGGCGTGGCCTGGGGGCCCCTCCTTCTCGGGGCGTGGCCTGGGGCCCCTACTTCCGTCAAAGCCTGGGCCCCACTTCCGGAGGTCCCAGGACCGACTCTGGAGGCCCTGATCGTAGACCTCCTGTCCCAAGAGGCTCCGGCCCACGCTGGCGCCGGCAACCCTGACTGTGGCCTTCGGCTCGGCCTTCCAGTACTGCTACAACCTCGCCGAGTTCAACACGCCACACAAGGTGGGCCTGAGGGGACCGGGTAGCCGCCACCGCCCTAGTTTTCTCATGAGTTGCCTAATACTGCTGGCTGAGGGTGGGCCAATGTTTTCTAGGTCCTGAAGGCGTTTTACAAGGACACCTACTTTGAGCCACATGGGACATTCTTGGGCGAGAAGGAGGCGCTGCTGCTGTGGCCTTGCACTGTCTCCATGTTTCCCCTGGGCCGCATGCTGGGGCCGCTGGTGGTGGGCAGCTGGGAAACTGTACTCTCTCGGTGGTCGTGCATGTGGTAGGGACCTGACCTGACCTTGAAAAGTCTAGCCCCCTCGTGGCGTGGACATCACGCCCTTAGAGCAAGCCCCCGGGTGTCCTGGGATTTCTTCCCTCGTCGGCTGCCAGGGAACGGCCATCACTCCATCCTCAGCCCAGGGACCAAGTGCAGCCTCTGAGAGCAGAGCTCTTGACGGGACCCCATGTAGGGCCCGGTAAGCACTCCTAGCAGGGGTTCCATAAAGGCCCCTTGGTTGGGTCTAATTCCCGGTCAGGTGGCCCTGGGCTCAGATCTGTGACAGCTGCAGCCTCGCCCTGTGTGGCCTCATCGTGTTGTTCCAAGATCTAGGGTTGACACCGAGTCACTCCCCATGGCCCTGTCTCAGGTCTTCCTTGAGAACGAACACTAGCGCTTTGTACTTTGCGAGGCCTGCAGGGAATCCCTAATCTGGGTGCCCAAGCTCAGATATGGAAAAGAGGTGACTCCCCAGATAAGGAGGGACACCTGAGCCAAGGTCCGCAGGGAGGGAGGCTGCCAGCCCAGGTCTCAGGCGAGGCACCGGGGAACAGCACCTGGCCACATCCCACCCTTTGGAATTCAGTTACACTTGGACTTGATATGCCAGGGCTGGCAGTTGGTGGGTGTAAGGGAAAAGTGAACTAACCTAAATAACTGAAGCACCTCAGCGTTCATGCGTGGAAGACAGTATCAGAAGTAGGGAGCCAGTTATTTGTTAAAGGGGACCAGGAGGCCCCCTTCTTCTGGACACCGGGCGAACAGGGGCTTTGCTGTGCATTGTGTGCTTGGAGGAAGAGGACACTTGATAGGTGGTAACTGTGCCAAAATCCAGGCTTTTTTGTGGTTCAGACTGTGCTGTTCTCAGCTGCACAAGGAGTGGCTGGACTGTCCTAAAAACCCAGCCCGGCCTCCTCGCCTGGACCCACAGTCACAGCACTCGGGGCCTCAGACAGGGGCTCATCGCCATGCTCACTTGGCAGAGGAGGACCCTGGGCCCGGCTTGGGTGGTGGAGCTGGCCTGGTGCCTATGGGCCTGGACAGCCCTGTGCAGGAAGGGTGGGGAGAGAGCCCAGCGGGGGGGCTGTCTGTTCCCTTCGGGTCTCGGGGCTGGCTGACCCTCTGCACTCAGTTGGGCAGTGGGAGCAGCTATCTCGGGGGAACAGCTGCCCCAGGAGAGAAAAGGGGCCTGAGAGCCACATTGTGCACATCTGCTCGTCCCGTGCTGCCCCACCGGGGACCTTCTGTGGCTGCCCCTCAGGAGGGTGCTCTGTCTTTCTGTTTAAAGAACCCCCACCCCCACTCCTGGCATAAACCCCCCCCCCCTCACTCCCCTGGCTGACTGACTCAGCACAGGGGTATCCTCAAAGGTGGGCGGAGTGGGGGCAAATCACAAAGGCTGGTGCAGCGAGCAGCCATGCACAGCTGGGTACGCCCTTCCTCCTGACCCTCCACTATCTTCTCCTTTGGCAAACCCCACACCAAAGTGGGTGGGGGGTGCAGGGCAGCCATTGATGGACGTCAGCAAGGGCCACGAAGCATAGTCTGGAAGGTGGGGGTGGCCCTGGGCAGTGAGGTGGTTTTACAGACACCCCCTGCCTCTTGTTCATGGACTCAGGGGTGTTCAGCCTGGCAGGGGATCCGAGAGACCGGCCAGCCTAGCTCTGCACCCCATCTGTCGTGGAGATCTCCAGGTGACATCCCTGACCACCTTTACCTGGTCCAGTCCCTGCTGACACAGCACAAGTGACAGGAAGCTTCCTGCCTGGGAAGGCAGTCCGCTCCTTCTTCCTTCCCGACGGTTCCCTCGGCTCCAACTGGGAGCAGCCCACCCTGCCCCTGCCCACCCAGACCTTCCTTCCTGGGACTCGGGTCCATCGGTCTGAGCCTTCCCCTTCCTCCCAGGCACCAGGCCCCCCGGGCACTTTCCCCAGCCGCTGTAATGGCTGCCTGGGGAACAGGCAGGTGTTGCTGTCGGGACAGCTCCTGCCTTCTCAGCCCCCTGCCCTCTGGGCTCTGCCGTCCTTGCAGAAAGGGTGCCCTGCTCATCAATAACGTCTTTGCCATCATCCCCACCATCCCGATGGGAGCCAGCAAAGTAGCCAAGGCCTTTGAGCTGATCATCTTTTCCTGAGTGGAGCTGGGAGTCTGCGCAGGTACCTGGAGGGACAGAGGAAGCCCCAAGGCCATGCTCAGGTTCACGGTCTGGGGGTAGGGGAATAAAGGAAGGATGGTCCAAGGCTGACAGGCCCAGTGCCAAGGGCCAAGGCCAGAAGCAGCAGAGACGAGGGTCTTCCCGGCCTTGGCCAGCCTGTGTCCCTTCTGGGGCAGCTGCTGTCTCTGTCCGCAGGCCCTTGTGCTCTTTCCCCTTCCCCTCAGTTGACCAAGTCTTCTCTCAGGGACGGTCTTCAAAGACACATTTTTGGGTGGGGAACACACAGCAGAGTATACAGATGTCGTAGTATAAATTCGTGTGATGTTATTAAACAATGTCACCAGAATAAATTCGACTTTAAAACTCTTTTTAAAACCCACACTTCTAACTTGAAGCATAAGTAACTGAGAGGCTTTTTGCAGTGTTTTCTGAGCAGGAGGAGGGGCTTCAAGCAAAAGGCCTGTAGAGTCCGGGGCCTTGGTCTGCAGGGAGCCAGGTTTCTTAGCCGTAGTGGCTTCTTCTGCTTAAAAAAAAAAAAAAAAAAAAAAAAGGTGGCACAAATAATCTGTACTTTAGAAAAGTCATAAAATACGTCAAAGCAAAAGAATTGTCTTGACATCCCTCTACCCAGGGCCCTGGCTCTGCAGCCAGGAAGGAGGGGACCTGGCTGTTATCACGCACCGCTGTGGCCCCCGGGGTTGCTCCATCAGAGCAAACTAAACAGCCCACAGGGCCCATTTTCACCGCCCTAGAGCGAGGCGCGGGCTGCGTGAGCTGCTTGGTGACGTGAACACCAGGGGGAAGGTCAGAGGTCATGAGATGGAGCTGCTTGAAACCTCAAGCTCCTGGGCCCCAGGAGGCTGGGACCACTTCCCTTCTGCCCTGATTTTTGTTCTGCTGGAACCAGGCGTCTCCTACAGCACCTTTCCCATGTACCTGGGAGAGCGGGCTCCCAAGAATCTCAGGGGCACTCTGGGAACAATGACCGAGGTTTTCTTCATTGTGGGAATCTTCCTGGCCCAGATCTTCAGCCTGTAGGCCATCCTGGGCAACCCTACAGGTACCCCACAGGGAAGGGGGTCCTTGGGGCCCTGTGGGGCTGCAGAGGGCTGTGTGGAGCCATGTGGGGTACAAGGGGCCGTGCGGGGGCCTCAGGTGCTGGGTACCGTCCTTCACTCAGCCTTGCCCACATCACTGGTGGCAAGCCCACTGAGGCTGAGACAGGACCTTCAGGGTGTGCAGTGCACAGTGTGGTGGACTCGGTGACCTTGGTGGGCACAGGTTGAGTGCATGATGGGGAGGGAAGGACGGGAGGCCAGGGGCACAGCTCTCATACACCCGTGGGAGTTCTGCTCCGAGGGCCAGAAGCTGGAGAGGTTTTCATCAGCTGGGAAAAGTAACAATGTTCTAAGCCATGAGGACCGCCCAGGAACATGGGACACAAGAGTGGGACATGCGCACTCGGGCCACAGTCACTGCTGCGTAGGTGGAGCATGGCCCTTGTAGACGCTTGCTTCTGGTTGCTTCTATGTCCTCAGTGAAATAGGAGGCAAGGCCACTGCCTGAGAGTGGGCTGGGGAGGAGGGAACGGTGGGGTGAGGAGACGGAGAGGGTGGGGCTGTCGCCTGGCGGTGGGAGCACAGTGGGGGTCTGGTGTTGGCTGCTTCCTTTTACACGTTTTCAAACTGCACTCGTTCCCTAGTGGGCGGGTCCCCACAGCCCCTGGAAGGGACTTGGAACCCTGTTGGTCGGTGCTCCATCAAAGGCCGTTAGATCAGCCATCCCCCCGCGGCCTCATGCAGTTGACAGACAAGCACTAACCTCGGAACGGGGGCCGGAGCCGAAGCCCCCACCAGTGATCGTGTGGCACTTCGTCATCATCATCCCATCACAGTCTCTGTTTTACTGATGACAAAACCGAGGCTCAGTGAGGCGAACCAGCTCGTCCGGTCCCCGTCAGAACCGGCAGGTGTCCGCCGACCCTCAGCACCGCCTGCCTAACGCAAACCTTCCAGACGGAGTGCACGGCCCAGCTCCGGGGGAGGCAGACGTGCTGCCACTCCCGGCAGTAAAGTGAGAAACACGGCGTGGCCTCCTTGTCTCCGGAGCTCACACCGTTCGGTCAAATGCTGTTCCTAAGAAGAGCAATGCTGTTCCTGGAAAGGCCTTAGTAACCCATCTTTTTAAAATCACAATTATTTTCTCCATTTTTAAATGTGGAACCCCTGTGCAGGCGGGTCCTGGGCAGCCGGCCACAGCTTGGCAAGAACTAGGTCCCCGCTGTCCTTGGCTCTCCCCAAGGGCGGGCACATCGTGGGCGAGTGACCTTGTAAGAGGGGAGTCAGGGTGCGGGGCAGGTCGGCTGGAGGGAGTCCAGAGCCCCCAGGGACCCTGACCGGCCGGTGTCCAGTTCTCCGAGTTAATCCCTACCAGGTTGGCCGGTGCTCCTGGCACTCACGGGGGTCCCCGCGTTGCTGCAGCTCCTGTCCCTGCCCTTCTTCCCCAAGAGCCCGTGCTGCACCCTGATCCAGAAAGGTGATGACACAGCGCGACAAGGTACTGGAGGTGCCGGCTGCTCCGCCGACACCCTCTCGCCCACGCTTCCCTGCCACCTCCCATACCCACTGCAATGTCCCTCCATAGCGCCCAAAGCCCAGGACAGGCAGCTGGCAGATGGGGAGAAGGGCCCCAAGAGGCAGGCACTGGTGCTGGCCAGGAGGCCAGCGCCCAGCCGTGATCCAGCGAGAGCAGAGACCAGGTCAGAGTCACCGCTGACCGGTGTCCAGAGTTGAGCACTAAGCCAGGGTTGGGTGTGGCTGGGGTTAGGGACATCACCCCATTGTTGGGCCCTAGTTGGAGTCAGAACACCCCGCTCTTCTGGGGAACTGGTGAGCCTGTGGCCAGAGGTGGGCTGAGGGGTGGGGAGCTGCCCCTGCCTCCCTGCGCTGCAGGTAGGTGCTGTCAGAAGAGAGATGGGGCCCCGCTCTGCTCCCCGCAGCTCCGAGGAAACTGAGGGGCTGGGCCTACGTAGAGGATGAGATCGAAGAAATGCGTGTGGAGGACCAGGCGGAGAGGGCCGAGGGCTGCCTGTTGGTGCTTGACCTGCTCACCTTCCGGCCTCTGTGGTAGCAGCTCATCTCCATCATCGTGCTCATGGCCGGCTGCGGAAGTGTCAGGTAAGGTCCCCGCTCAGAACTCGTGGTCCCCCTGAAAACCACCTGATTCAGTTAGACCCGGCGAACATTCACCGAACTGCCATGAGTAGTAGTGGTATTGGTACTATGGTGTGCGTGCTATTGCCAAGTTCAAGGGTGCAGAGTCTAGTTCTGCGTCCAGGAGGGAATGAGAGTGAGACTCAGGCGGCTCCTCCGGAGCCAGGAGAAGGCAGAGTCTGAAACCCAGGGCTTCTGGGCAGCCGCCCCTACTACACGCTCCTTTCGTTTGCCAGGAACAAACAAACAGAGGCACCCCCTGGAAACAGCTAAAGCAAAACCAGACTTAATTTACAGAGGCAGCTCGACAATGCGGTGGGGTGCCAGGAGCAGCCTGAAAGCGGGGTGCAGAACATCAGCGGGGAACCTGGGGGTTCTGCTGTCTCCTCATGCTGCTCTCCCACGTGCCTACCTCTTTTCAGAAAAAGAGGGACCCGCCTTCCCAGTCCCCGGGAGGAAGTGTCTCCTGCTCTTGGCCCTGTGCCCTCTCTGCAGGAGACCAGCCAGCGGCGGGGAGCTGCAGGTCCCTGAACCAAGCTCAGGCTTCCAGGGGAGACAGGTTAGTGGGCTCAGCTGGGTCAGGAGCAGCCATGGACTTGCTCAGCCTCAGCCACTGGTGGCATCACTTTGAACCTGGTTCTCGGGCCATAGCTGGACCTGTCAGTGGTATGGAGGGAAGAGCAGAGATCTGAAAAAAAATGGGTGGGTTGGAGGATGGCCTCCAGAAACCGCGTGGTTGGGTGGGTAACCCAGGCACTGAAGGAAGGTGTCAGGACGAGTGGCACCAGGCACTCGGGGACGTTGAACAAGTGCTGCTGGGAGTGGGGAACAGCCCCGGTAGGAGCCACCGAACGGGCAGCAGCCCGGGCGGCTTTCGGGAGGGCTGTGTGCGCCCACTTCCCTGGGGCTGGGCTGGGACAGGAGCTGAGCTTGACCCACAGTGAGAGGTGAGGTGTCACTCGGAGGGGCCTCAGACGGCAGGTGGACACAGCGGCCGAGGGAGAGGCCTAAGGGGGCATTGGGTCCAGATCCCACTTCGCAGATGCAGAAGCCGAGGCCCGGAGGGCAGAGGAGCCGTGACCCCGGGCAGAGCCGGCTCGGCTTCACCCAGCTCACACCATGTCACAGCGCCCTCCCCTCCTCCAGCTGCCTCCTTCCTGTCCAGTGGAGAGTCCTGGAAGGTAAGCCAGGGGCCACCACCTTGGACCCGTCCTCACAGCCCCTGGGCCTTTGCTTTAGATCAACTACCACACGGACATGATCTACGTGCGGGCTGGCGTGGAGGCCGCTCACTCCCAGTAAGTGACCGTGGGCACTGGTGTGGTCGACGTCACAATGACTGGCGTCTCAGCGAACGACCAGGAGTATCCTTTCCACTGTCAGGGTGGGGTTCCCGAGCTGGTGCCCTGCGGACAGACAGGAGCCCCCCCCCCCCCAGAGCCCACCGAGGGACACAGAGTTGGGTGTGCACACACACGCACACGCACACGCACACACACGTTTCTTGCTCTGGGACGCGGCTGCGGCGATTGCAGTGCCCGTGTGCCCCAGCAGGTGTGGTTCACGCTCAGCAGGACGCTGCGGGTACGCAGCTCTCTGTCTGAAATCTGAGCTGGCTTTGCCTCGCCGCACACAGTGTTAAAAAGTAACTGGAAAGGAACACTGGTTCAGGAGCGAGGCCAGGTGCCGGTGACGCCCCTTTCTCCAAGGGGTGCCCAGCTTTCTGGGGCGTCCAACCTCCTGGCGTCTCTGGGCCATGCTGGAAGAAGCAGTGTTGTCTTGGGCCACGTGTTAAATACACAAACACCGATGCAAACTGATGAGCAAAAAGGAAGGTTTTAAGTAAATTTATGATTTTGTGTTGGGCTGCCTGCACAGCCAGCCTTGGCCGCGTGTGCCCGGTGGCTGCGGGTTGGACCCCCCTGCTCTGGAACTTTCCCCACAGTGAGTGCTCTCACTAGTGTTTCCATTTCTGCTTCTTGAGGTCCCTGGAGGCTGGAGGTGCTCTACAAAGTCACCTGTTCCTCATTCACGCTTGACCCCCCCCCCCCCAGCCAGCGGGATCCCCAGCCAGGGGGTAGCAGGGCTGGCAGGGGAAGTGATGCAGGGGAGGGTGATGAGGGGGTGGGGGGGCGCCCAGTGAGTTCTCACCCTTCCTGGGGTCTGTCCACCCTTCCTCCTGCTGAGTCCCCAGGGAAGACTCTTCCTCCACCCTCAGAGCCCCTCCTCTAGGGTCCATGGTCACCACCCTCATCCCTGTCGTCATTGTACTGGGCGGGGGCCGGGGGTGGGGGACCCAGTCCAGAAGACAGGGGAGCCCTTCCTGGGGGCTGTGCATGGGTGTGAGCACAGGGGGGAAGCTGGCCTCCTGTCTAACCTGCGTGGGGTGCTGTGGAGCTGCTCCTTGCTGCGTGGGAGCAGTGGCCATCCCCTGTCTGCAGCGTGGCACACGAGGTGACCAGGTGACCGCAGAGGGCCTGCCACTGAGCCGGCCCCCGGGGTGGCCCTGCTGTTGGAGCTGGTGTGAGGATGGAGCAGAGCTGACTTGCTGTCAGGACCAGGAGGAGGGGCGGCCAGAAGGAGCGTGGCTGAGAGAGGGGCACAGGTCTGGGAAGTGGGAAAGGAGGGGCGTGGGGGACTGGGCCCCTCCCAGTGGGAGGTCGGATTCTGGGTGGGAGAATGAGGGCAGCAGGGAGGGGTCGGCTATTTGAAAAGGTAGGTGTTATTATTCGGGTGTAGGGGGGCTGGTGTATCCAGGATGGCTGCCTTGGAGGAGACAGTTTGTCATTCAAAGTCCAAACTGTGAGAGGACAGGGGGAGGGAGGGGCAGGCCCCGCCACCTCCAAGGCACGGGGCAGCCCCGGGGCAGCCAGGAGGCAGAGGGGGCAGTGGGGGCCGTGGGCAAGAGCCTTCACTGTGGCCTCGGGGGAAGGAACAGGCAAGGCTGGGGCTGCAGACTCGGGACTGGCCAGTTCGAATACTTTCAGTGGTTTTGGGGCACAGGGGCTGCCCTAGGTCGTCCAGTGCCTGCACTGGGTGACCCGGGCCTGTGGCCCTGAGTGTGAGACCCCCTAGGGGAGGAGGGTGGAGGGTGGGCCCCTGCATGGGTGGGTTTCATGTGAAAGCAGACGATTTGTTCGCTGCCTCTGGAGACAGCTAACCAATGGCAGCACAGGCCCTCCGGGGTCAGCAGGGCTCCAAGCTGCCAGAGCACCAAATACAGAACCTAGAAAGTGTAAGACGGGGCACTAGGGAGGGGCTGGAGGAGGGAGTGGTGGCACGAGTCCAAGAATTCTGGGCGCCCCCTGAGCCACAGTCACTTCACTGTCACCTCTTCTGCTCCAGGCTGGCTCCGTTGAATGTCTGGGGAGACGGCGCCCCCTGCTGGTTGGCTATGGCATCTGCGGCTCGGCCTGCTTCAGGCTGACCCTGGCGCTGCTCTTCCAGGTCTGACTTCATTTCCCTGCCCTGGGGGTGGGATGGGGCAGGGAGCCGGGAGCCGGGACCAGAGACACGGAGCGTGCAGCGGGGTGGGAGGTCCCCATAACAGACCCAGCACCAGTAGCCCAAAGCACTTCTCAGCTGTGTCCCGCCCACGTTCCCTTCCACACAAGTACCTTGTGGTGCCCTGCCCTGCAGGGATGTTCGTGGGCGACTTCGCTCACCTGCACACAGACATGCAGGTAAATAAATGCAATGCCCGGACCGCAGTGTACAGGACAATTTACAATGAAATGTGTGTTTCGATACAAAAAGGCCCATGCTCGGCGGCACTGGAGAGTGCACACCAGTGAGGAACCACCCAGAGGAGATTTTGGAGACGGAAGGTTGTTCTGCTCCAGGAGAAGAAGAAAGTGGACCATGGGACAAACTCGGCTTGGGATGAGCAGTTACGTGGACCAAACGCCCTCATGTGTGATAAGAGAAAGAGGAAGATAAGCTTAGCTGAGGCAGGAGTGCCAAGCAAGGCAGATAAGAAGGTCCGGACAGAGGATGGGCGTGGTCCCATTTATAAAGGTGTCGTTAAAATAGCCACCAGGTCACAAAATGGAGCAGCGCTTACTTGAAACCTGCTGCATGTGAAGATGTGCGTCGTCCGATACTAAAGTATCTCAGACAGCCAGTCGGAATGACGTGGGAGAAGAAACTAATGCGAGAAGCTACACAGTCACTGGGAAGCGAGTGCCCGGGTCAAAGTCAAAGGAAGCTTGAACGCCATAGGCTGCCCAGAGAAGAAATACACCATTTTGATTTCTGATTTTCTCAAGCATGGATTTATTCCATGTTTTACAAAAAAAAATTGAAAATGCACAGGATGACCAGAGCGTGAAGGACTTTGAAAACAAGCAGCGGACGTGACCACCTGTTCACCACTGTTGCTTTTGCAGGAACTGCGCCAGCGGAGAGAAACCCTTGACACCCACATAGGAGAGTGTGCGAAAGGGCTGTCGGGTAATTCAGAGGCGGCGTCTGCCTCCCTTTGCCCTCCTCTCAGGAATGACTTCCTCCTCAGTGGTGGGCCGGACACAGAGACCTGCAGGCGGACGGACAGAGGGAGCAGGCGAGCGGAGAGTGGGGGACGAGGCTGGCCAGGAAAGGGCTAGTTACATTCCTGTTTCAGTTTAATCAAAGTTTTCCTTTCAAAGACCTTATTTTTTTTAATTTTAAAACTAATTCTGACTTTCTACATTCAAGGAACTTAGGCAAATGAAAAGAAGTAAATAAAACTAGACGGAGATCGTTGTTAGTTACATGTCGGAAACCCAAGTGCGGTCCCCAGGCATTCCTTGAATCTCGCCGTCTCTAGGCAACCACCCACCAGCCCTGTCGGGCACACCCAGCAGCTGGCCACTGAGCCCCTGTGTCCAGGGGACCGCCAGCCTCAGCCACGCCCTCATTTGCTGCAGGTGTGGCAATGGACTCTTCACCCCCCAGTTGTCTCTGCTGAAATGTTGAGTCAGAGCTCGTCATTGCTCTGGCTCTTCACCCCACGTCATCTTGCATCCAGGAGGCTGCCGCTCCCCCCTCTCATCTTTCACCTTGAGGCTGGGAGACCCAGTTGTAGAAGGAGGCTTTCCTGGCCCACCTCTGCCGCCGGCACTGCGCCGGCTCCTCCTCCACAGCCTTTTTCATGGTTGTAGTGAAATAGTTACCTGCGTGGTTAGATTGGCTGGTGTCTGGTAGCCTGGTGTTGCACCAGCCACTGTCCTGGCTGTGTTGACCACAGATGGTCTGCCAGCTCTCCTGGTCTCGAGGCTTCTAGAAGGATTCTCTCAGCTAGTGGGAGTTGGATCCCAGCACCGTCCCTCTGATCCCTGGGTCGTTGATTGACCTCTGAGGGCCCGCGGGTCCTCTTTGCCTGTGTCCCCGCTCTCTGGGCTCTGAGTCCACATGGGTAGGATCGAAACAGTAACTTCCCTGCTCACAGGCATCAGGAAGGTTAAGGGGACGAGCAGAGAATAAATGAGCAGCAGGTAGGTTCTCCTGCTGTGACCCTCCTCCTGGCTGGGTGAGGCTGGTGGGAGCCCTCTGGGAACCGGAGTGCGGGGTGTCAGGGCCTGGTGTCACCTTCCTCCCGCCCACACCTGGTGTCACCTGCCCACAGAGCCCTTGGGGTCCAGCTAGGTCCTCAGCAGTCCAGGTGTGGCTCCTGCCTGTGTCAGGAAGGGTGGCCTGGGCGCAGGCAGACCCTCTGTCCATGGGACTCCTGGCCTCTAGCTCTCAGAGGTCCTGGACCAGGCCCTGTTAGGCACCGACTGCCCCGCCTCTCCCCACAGAGCACGGTCCCGGAGCTGTCCTACCTCAGTGTCATCTGTGTCTTCGCCTGCATCTCAGGACATTCCATCAGGCCCAGCGAGTACCTGCGCTCACGTCCTCCCAGCCTTCGGGGATAGTGCTGTCCAAGGAGCTCCGCAAATGCCTGTCGAATCGGTGGACGTCCTTGACCTGTGCTGCTCTGGTGCTCGCTACACCCGTTCCTCTGTCCCCGTCCAAACTGCACCCACGCTCGGGGCCCAAGCTCAGTGCACAGTGGAACCTTGGCTCTCGACCTTAAGTCATCCCTGAAAGCTGTTCGAGAACCGAGGCTGTACCTTTTCCTTAAAGGTGATTCCAGCTCACCTTCCTCCATTCAACAAATGTTTACCAAGTGCCGCCTGGTGCCATAGCCAGGCCAGCACCCCCCCCCTTCTTTCCTGTGGCTCCCAGGGGTGTCCAGCCTCAGGGCCAGCACCTGACACGGAGCTGAGCCACTGCAGAGGGAGCTCATGCTGACCAGTCCCCACTGGGGGCGCCTGGGTCATGTCCAGATGCTCCCGTGCTCCCTGCCGCCTCCAAGCACACGGTCCACCTGAGGCTCAGTTGTCTTTGGTGCCCCGACCTCAAGGCACATTCCCTCCTTGGCTTCTCCCCACACCCACACACCAGCAGCCTCGGGCCTTCACCTGGGCCTACCCCTCAGTCAGCCTCCAGGCCCCAGGCTCCCCTCCTCTGTGTGTCCTTCTGAGGATCAGACCCTGTTCTCACCGCCTGGGGGAAAGCACGTCTGACTGCTAAGACTACACCGTTCCCTGCAGAATCTTGGTTTTGAAAGCTGTTCATAAACCAAAGCACTGATCCATTCCACACATGTGGGCAGGTCACCTGCTTAGTCTGTGCAGTGCCGGGCCCCAGCCAGGCCCTGGGGACACAGTTGTGTTGAAGGATATTTTTAAATTTTTTATTTATTTAATTTTAGAGGGGAAGGGAAGGAGAGAGGGAGAGAAATATCAATGTGTGGTTGCCTCCTGGGCACCCCCTGCTGGGAATTAGCCTGCAACCCAGGCATGTGCCCTGACTGGGAATCGAACCACGATCCTTTGGTTTGCAGACCTGCGCTCAATCCACTGAGCTACACCAGCCAGGGTTCAAAGGATGTTTAAGTGGGATTTTCAGCACATGCCCTGAGTGTGGAGGCAGGAGGGCCCAGGAGGAAAAGGGCTGTGGTGGGTCAGGGACCTGGGTCCTCAGCCGCTCTGTCCCTCACTGCCCGTGTCACCTGGAGCAAGCTTCTCCGGGCCTCAGCCCCTGTCTGAAAGACATGGACAATCAGATGAGCTGGAAGGTTGGGGGTCAGGCCTTGGAGTGGTGTGACGAGTGGGCCAGGTCCCCCAATGGGCAGGGCAGCAGCACAGACGCCCCTCCCCGGGAAGGCCCCTCCATGGAGGGTAGGAGTTTCTCATTCAGTGTCCCGAGGGCAGCTCATTTTGGGCTTTCAGCTCCTCTCCATCTCCATCTCCATCCACTGAGGCCGTGCGTTTCCCACGGGGTCCCCTCGACACCCCCAAGAGTTGGAAATTGGCTGGGGGGACGGACAGAATCTTTTTTTAATGTGTAAAGCCATAGACAGACTTACAGTAAATAAACGGATATACAGTGTATGTTAAAGTTTTTATAGGGGATGATGATTAGGAAAAAAGTGGCTTTAGACAAGTCTCCTTCGGGGAAAATGTGGAGAAACAGGCCCAGGCAAGGTGCCCGCAGCAGATGCCTGCCATTCCCCAAACCTACCACGGGGGGGCAGCACTTCCCAGGCACAGGCGCTCCTTGAGTTCTGCGGAGAATTTCAAAAGGACACCAGCGCCAGGAGAGAGCGGTCTCCGTGTGGCCCGGAGGCCCTCGGAGGGAGGGCGGTTGTCCTCCACGCTGCTCTACGCAGCTGTGGGTGTTGCCCGGGAGGAGCCAGAGTGGGGAGGAAGCGGGGCACTGGCTGAGGGGTGTCAGCTTGTTCCCTCTGCCAACACCTGGCGATAGGGGACCTGGGGTGGGGTTAGGGCCCTCGGAGCCCCGCTCCGCCACACTGGGCCTGTGCTGTCCTCCCTCGAGGTCCCGTCCCCTCCGTGGCGAGGCCCGAGATCTTCCTGCAGTCTTCCCAGCAGACCGCCTTCATGGTGGACGGGGCTGTGCACTGGCTCACCGACTTCATCGTGGGCTTCCTGTTCCCCTCCATCCAGGTGAGTGAGGCCCTCAGCTGGGAGCACGGTGGGCTGCCCTCACCAGGCTCCCTGATCCCCCCCTGCCAACCCCTGAGGAAGAGGGGCCTCGGGAAATAAGCACCGGTTTCCTTCTACCAAGAACATCTGCCCCGGGGACAGGGGGCGGCTGGCAGGCACATTGGGGGTCCGGAGAACACAGGTGCCACGGTGGCCAAACTGAAAGTGCCGGCTTCCCATTACTGACCGGAGCCCCTCCCTCCAAGGGGAAAGGGCTAGTTTCCAGGGGCGCTGGTCTGCCAAGGTCACAGGCAATGCGAAGCAAGCTGGAGCCAGGGTGAGGGAACACATTTCATTCCTGTTTCCGAAGGTGTGCAGTTCAGCACCACTTCCCCTCACCCTGAGGCCGCAGGGCCCTGGGTCCCTACTGTTAAAGGCTAAGCAGTTCCTTTGCAGGTGAGGGCGGGACCTGATTTTCTAGCTGCGTCACTCTGTAGTAAAAACTAAACCGGCCACCGAGAAACTCCTTAGGACTCATGAAGGCCTCCCCCTGTCATTTCTCCCTCCTTCTTCCTCCTCTCCTCGCTCAGGAGGCCATGGGGGCCCGGAGTTCCACTGTGTTTTCCTGCATCTGCCTGCTCACCGCTGTCTACATGTACATGGTGATTCGGAGACCAAGGGCTGAATGTGGCGATAAACCGAATTTTTGCTAACAGAAACAGAATGGAGATTCCAGGGAGAGAAGAAACTGCAGCTGTCGAGCCTCCCACACCATCTCTACCCACCAAGAAAACGTCCTTTTAATGGTTCTGCGTGTCCCCAAATGCTACATCAAGGCTTCCTTCTCTAAAGACGGAACTTCCTGCCCCAGGGCTCAAGGGAGGGTCATAGCTCTGAGCTTTTTGTGCCCCCAGTGGCCTGCAGAAAGCTTCGGAAAGATTAGACTCTGATTTGGTTGAGACGTGATGAGCTTTCAGCACTGGCCAATGGGCTGAGTGACTCAGGCGGATGGGCGGGTCCCTGAGCTTTGATTGGTAGGACTCTATTCTCTAACTCTGCATTAGCACCAAAACTCGGGTGACACGTGTGGACACATTTAAAGTGCAGCTGTTGGTATGGAGGCTCGAATCCAGATCAGTGTCTTGGTTTGAGGGTGAAGGGTACTGGAGGCCAAGCCCTGGAGGCTGGTGCCTTCCCAGGGCCCTGGGCTACACATACCCTGGTCAGTGTCACAGCCTGCGGGGGCACGAGGCAGTAGAAGTCAGAGCGTTCTTGGGACTGTTTAGGAAAAAGCCGTCCCTGGACTGGTGCATCGATACCTGCCTTGGAAACAGGAGAGCACCATATCGAGAGGTACAAAGTGCCAAAGCTCACTGTGGAGGAAGTCGATAACCTGTGCAGTCCTGTGTCAACAGAAGAAATTGAATTCATTGTGAAAAACCTCCCCACAGAGAAAACTCCAGGCTCCGCTGGGTTCACTGGTGAATTCTACCAAACCTTTAAGGAAGAAATAATGCCAATTTGACACAAACTCTTCCAGAAAATTAAAGAGAAAGGAATGCCTCTCAACTCATGGTATGAAGCCGTCATTATTCTGATTCCAAAACCAAACTAAAGACACAAAACTACAGACCAATACCCCTGATGAACATGGACACAAAGGTTATTAGGCAAAGTTTAGCAAACAGAATGCAATAATAGAAAGCTACTATATATCTTGACCAAAAGGGGCTTAGTCTGGGAATGCAAGGTTGGCTTAATCCTTCCTAAATTTACCTATAGATTCAACACAATTGCAATCAAAATTCCGGCAGGCTTTCTTTTGGGGGAGGGGGAGGGTAGAAATTGACAAGTTGATTCTACAATTTATGTGGAAATGCAAAGAACCCAGAATAACCCAAACGACTTTGAGAAAGATGGAGTGGGAGGACTTACTACCTAATGCCAACACTCCTCATAGAGCTACAGTTATCAAAACGGTGTGTCGTAGCAACTGGATCAATGGGGCGAAGTAAAGAACCCAGAAGCGAACGCACACCCACACACTGATGTCTGACAGAAGCAATTGAATGGTGGCAGGAGGGTACTTCCAACAAATGCACTGGGGTAATCACATCCATATGTGGGAAAAAGAACTTTTATCCATAACTCCAAGTGGATCATAGGCCTTTAAATTAAGCCCTTTTAAAACTTCTGTAATAGAACATAGGAGATGAATATTTGTGAGCGTGGGTTACACAAAAACAACACCAAAAGCACAATCCACAAAAGAAAACATTGATAAATTGGACTTTGACACAATTAAGAACTTCTGCTACTTGTAAGACACTGTTATGAGAGGGAAAACACAAGCCACAGGCTGGCACGTGTGTGTGCAAATCCTGTGGCCGAGGAAGACTCCTATCTAAATGAATAGATGTGTAATGAATAAGAAAACAACTGCAGTTTGAAAATGGGCAAAACTGGGATATGTACCTCACCAGAGAAGACATCTGATGGTAAACAAGTGCATGAGAAGGTGCTCGGTATTGTTAGTCCTCAGGGAAATAGAAATGGAAACTGCAGTGAGACACTGCTACACACCCGTCAGAGAGCTGAAGTTGGCTGACTACATCAGGTGCTCCCAAAGATGCAGAGGAACTGGATTCCAATACCCCCACCAGGAGAGTAAACTGGTGCAGCCACTTTCTAAAGCAGTTCTCTACCCTGTTAAACATCTACCGCGTTATCCAACCCTGTACCCCTGAGTGTTTAGCCAGAGAAATGGAAGCACATGTCTGTACAAAAGCGTATATGCAAATGTTCACAGCAGGTTAATCTGTAGTGGACCAACCTGGACACCGCATAAAAGTGCCTCACAGGCGTTGAATAAGCAAACTGTGGCCGACCCACACGCGAGCCCACGACTCAGCAACACCAAGACATGAACCACCAGCACACGCCGCCGTAAGCGTAGACATCATGGTAACTCTGCTCAGTGAAACAGCCAGACCAAAAAGTGCACACCATATTATTTTAATGATAAAAAACTGTACAAAATGCCAACTAACTTATAGGGACAGAAAATGGATCAGCAGTTCCTGGGGGAAGCTTTTGGAGTGGTGGAGATGTTTATTACCTTTACCGTAGTGATAATATGGAGGCATACAAATGCCAAAACATCAGATCATACATTTTAAATGAAAAAAGAAGTGATGAATGAGAAGTGTTTTAAGTGTCATGTCAGTAAACCGCACTGCCCCCTGGTGGTTGTGCACGAGGTGGGAGTTGGGGGGTCCTGGGAAAGCAGGACCTGAGGTCCAGTCCCCTCGTGGCCTTAGAAATCACGCCCTTAGAGCAAGCCCCCGGGTATCCTGGGATCTCTTCCCTGGTCGGCTGCCCAGGAATGGCCGTCACTCCATCCTCAGCCCAGGGACCAGGTGCAGCCTCTGAGAGCAGAGCTCTTGATGGGACCTCATGTAGGGCCTGGTCAGCACTCCTAGCAGGGGTTCCATAAAGGCCCGTTGGTTGGGTCTAATTCCCTGTCAGGTGGCCCTCGGCTCCGAGCTGTGACAGCTGCAGCCTCACCCTGTGTGGCTTCATCAGTGTTGTCCTTCCAAGGTCTGGGGTTGACAGTGAGTCACTCCCCATGGCCCTGTCTCAGGTCTTCCTTGAGAACAAACAGTAGCGCTTTGTACTTTGCTAGGCCTGCAGGGAATCCCTAATCTGGGTGCCCAAGCTCAGGTGTGGAAAAGAGGTGACTCCCCAGATAAGGAGGGACACCTGAGCCAAGGTCCGCAGGCAGGGAGGCTGCCAGCCCAGGTCTCAGCTGAGGCACTGGGGAACAGCACCTGGCCACATCCCACCCTTTGGAATTCAGTTACACTTGGACTTGATATGCCAGGGCTGGCAGTTGGTGGGTGTGAGGGAAAAGCGAACTAACCTAAAGAACTGAAGCACCTCAGCGTTCACGCGTGGAAGACAGTATCAGAAGTAGGGAGCCGGTTATTTGTTAAAGGGGACCAGGAGGCCCCCTTCTTCTGGACACCGGGCGAACAGGGACTTTGCTGTGCGCCATGTGCTTGGAGGAGGAGGACACTTGATAGGTGGTAACTGTGCCCAAATCCAGGCTTTTTTGTGGTTCAGACTGTGCTGTTCTGAGCTACACCAGGAGTGTTCTAGAAGCCCAGCCCGGCCTCCTCGCCTGGACCCACAGTCGTAGAACTTGGGGCCTCAGACAGGGGCTCATCACCACCCTGGTTTGGCAGAGGAGGACCCTGGGCCGGGGTGTGGGGTGGACCTGGCCTTGCTCCAGAGGGGTCTCTGCACAGCCCCGAGCCTCCCTGAGTCTAATCCAGCTCCTGGTGTTCAGAAAGGGCTGCGGGCAGGCCCTCGGGACAGGCTGATTCCAACTGGGCCAGGCCAGGCGCTCTGGGGTGTGAGGTCACGTGACCGCCGGGAAACCCAATCAGAAGAGACGGCCGTTAGCCCCGCCCCCATCTTCTGGGCCCCGGCTTTTCCCAGGTTGGCTGCCTGCGCCTGTTTTTCAGGTAGTTTCTGATAAGGTCCCGAATTTTGGTTGGAAGGGACCTCGGTCAACTGTATCTGAATCCCTGTCCCCAGTAGGAATGCCTTGTTCCCCTGCGCTCCGGTTACCAGGCCTCTGCTTGCATGCCTTCGCTGACAGGCCGCTCACCATCTTTCAAGAGGGAACCACGCGGCCCTACTTGGCACCCTGGCCCTGCGCTCCGGTGAGTTGCTTCTCTGTCTCATTTTGCCGCCCGCAGAACGGGGATAACGGTCGTATTCATGCTGTAGGATTGTGGAGGGGGTTACAGGTGTCTGTGACGTGGGGCAGACGCCCTTCCGGGCGCTCTGGCCGACTCGGGGTCCCGGTCTGCCCCCCCCCGCCCTTCCTCGGAAGGCATTTCTGAGCCTAGGCCGCGCCGCCCGCTCCGCTCCTCCGGCTGACGGAGCCGGCGTGCAGGTGCCCGGGCCCCTCGGCCCCCACTTGGGCTCGGCCCGAGTGTGTTCTACACGTTTCCTCGCCACTCTGGGGGCTAAGGCCACAGGCCCCTCTCGGGAGCTGGCCCCACGACCCGTCCACTCGGCTGGCTCCTTTCTCCCTCCTGGATCCCTGTTTCCTTCCACTCTCCATAGAACCGAGGGGCCTGGAGTCCTGGCCTCGGTCTCCCCTCCCGGGAACCCACTTGGGGGCTTCCTGTGAGGCACTTCGCACACTGGTGGCCTGGTGTGGCGTCTATTCAGGGCTCTTGGTGGCTGTGGTGGCTGGCTGGTCAGGTAAAATGCTCTCCCCACTTGGGTCCCAAACCTTCCTCTCTGGTCCTCATCGCTGCCGTCGGGCCATCCCCACGCGGAGCGATCCTGCAGTCTCAACCACCTTCTGTCCCCAGAGACTGACTCTGGGGTGCACACTTGTTACAGGAGGGAACCCCACTGATCAGAAACCTGTTTGACCGCGTTTCTATCAACCTGCTGTGAGCTCAGCGAGGAAAAGACGTTTGAGCTGAAACCTCTCCAGGTGCTGCCGGCTGTCAGGGTGCCACTGCCTGTCGGGGTGCTGCTGGCTGTCAGGGGGCTCAGGTTCCTGGGCTTTGGTCTCTAAGGGAACAGGTTGGGAATCGCAGTGAACAGGACAGGGCTTCCATTGTGTTTCCTGCTTTGCTTCCCTGTGGGGGCAGGGGCAGAAAGTGCCTGATCTGAGGGTCCCGGGCTGTATTCCTGGCCCCTGCTCATTCTCAGGTCTATAAAGGTCCCATGTTCTCACATGCGTAGACCTGTCCTGGTTACAAGTCTTAAAAAAAAAAAACTTATGAATTTGTCCTATTTCTTTCTCCTCCCCGTCTTTGCTAAAATAAAGTCATGTTTTTGCAATGTGTTTTT